CCCCCAGCTGTCTGATAGCAGAGATGTTAGATGGGCAACACAAAATGGAGGAGGCAGCAGACACAAGCTCAGCTGGTCCATTAGAAGCATGTCTGTTTCCTGACAATCCAAATTGACATGACGGAGCATTGAGACCCCCACAGGAGGCTGTGGCCGCTGATGCATAAAGGTGTGTGTGCGTGCTAAACTAGGGAATAGGCCTATGGGGGCAAGGCAGGGTCTTGTGGGGGAAGGGGAAGGCTGGATTAGTAATAGAGTGGAGCATAGTTATTGGTCACTGGACACAAACAATAGGAAGGCTAAAGAGGATTTGGTCTGATTGTGTACCCCCTCCTCCTTCTCTCCCACTGTCCCGTAGCGCCAGTGATATGGTATAGAGTTCTGGGATGCACCCTTTGGGGCGGCCCAGTACATCTGGAAGATCGGCCCGTCTGCCAGTCTGGCATGTGCCCCTCCCCCTCGTTCCATAAAGAGTAGGTTGAGACATGAACTACATACGCAAGAGACGAATACAGACATATTTGTCAATAAAACTAATGATGCAGATCTGTCAACGAGGAAAATCCATCGCGCAGAGGGATGTTGTAACTGATATATCCCACTTAAGGATAAAAGGGTGATTGCATAACACCTGAAAGGTATTTTAATGTGCTGTGGACTTGTCCACACAGAAAATCAGATTTTACAAAACAAGCTTTTATTTATTTATTTATTTTAATATCGTTGTGAACTTTGACCCGTTTATGGAAATGTCTTCATCCGCATGGAAACACAATAAATGTTCTGAAATGCTGGAGTAAGTATGCCTGTGGTGCTGTAATGGGTGTCATGAAAAATAAACAAGAAACAAGGTGTGGAGCATGCTCATAGACTTGCACACTGGATGCAAAATGTAAACGCAACAAGGACGCTCTCAGCTTTCATACACTGGAACTCGTTCTAAAAAATATATATATATATATTTGTTTCTGTGTGGATGAAAGAATGAAATGATAAACTTTTGTGTATTCATAAAATCTGTTCCCGTGTGGATAATCTGTAAATATCTAAAGCTGCATTCATCAAGATTCACGATTTGCTTGACAGTAACTTGGTCAGGTGTTACTTTCCAGCTATAGACTTCATGTTCTTTATAACTTCAGTCATACTCTTGACAAAAAAATAAATACAATAAATTCAATTAAATCATGAGAGATTATTTCTGAAAATAGTTTACGTTTTAATATATAGCATGCATTAAATGCATACACACTGGCTAGTGTTGCACATATCGTAGCCGTGACAAGTTTCCTTGTAACATTTCAAAAAGTTTGCACTTTATGGGCTGATTATAGGCTCGTTGATAAAATTAAGCAATTGTAGCATCAATGTGCAAAATGTCAAGTATCTGAAAAGATTTTTAAAAAATAGTACCAACTAACTGCACGTTGTGTTTGGAAATCTGTTCATCATAAAATGACCACAGCTGATGTTTGCTAGACTGTTGATGTATGTGAAGATTGTTGGGAGCAACATGATGACAACAAAAAGGAACTGTGAAAAATAGACATTTTGCAACTGATTGTCATTGCAACATTTACCATTAATATCACAACTTCATGTTTTCTTAATATTATTCACCCTAAATAAAATCAAAGCATGTTATACATTATTTGATAGTGTGTATACAATGCTCTTATGTTAATCCCAATGGGTTGGGTGACCTGTGCAGATAGGGTTTGCGTGATTTATATAAAGCCAGACATTCTTGGCGAGGATGACCCAGGCAGTCCTAATAAGCAGATCCAAAGCAGAATGCTTCCTTTGTGCCAGTGAGATTTAATGAGCCTGCAATAGGCCCTCCAAACTCCGTGTTTGGTGCACTCTTCAACAAGGAATGCCATTGTGTAATAAAATGATGTTTGTGTACTTGTCAGTACGAGCTTATAATCTGTGTGGCAGTTTGCATCATGTTTCAAAAGATGTGCAGCTGAAAGAAAGCTGCTCATGATAAAGTTAGATGAATTTATTTTAGTTATTACTTTATTAGGCCCACATTTTTAATACAAATCATGGACCCCCTGTGCCTTAAGAACTCCCTTCAGTTCTTTGTGGTGTGTCCAACAAGGTGTTGGAAACATTCCTCTGGGATTTAAGTCCATTTTGATCTGATAGTGTGCAGATGCTGCAGATTTATCAGCTGCACATCCATGATGCAAATCTCTTGTTTCATCACATTGCAAAAGTTTTTCATTGGCTTCTACTGGTTTTCCAAGGTTTTCCATCTGGTGACTGTGGAGACCATTTGATACCAGTGAATTCAGACTCATTAGACCAGGAGATATTGAGCAGGGAGGTCCAGGCATCTCTTTCCACAACTACCTCATCTGGGAGGACCCCAAGGTGTTCCCAGGGCAGCTGAGAGACAGTCTCTTCAGAGTGTCCTGAGTCTTCCCCGGGGTCTTCTCCTCATTGGACATGCCTGTAAAACCTCCCCAAGGAGGCATCCATCTGTCCATAAAAGTTATGAAAAAAATGGGAACAGGCAGTCCGAGCAGAGTCCAACTCCCACCCTGAAGGGCTCCGACTTAACTGCTGGCAATGCAAACAAAACTCTTGCACCACTTGTACAGGGACTGAGTGGCCCTTAGCAATGGACCCCCAGTCCCCAAAATGAGTGGATGATGAAACAGATCTAATATTATCTCAGGTCAACCTCAATTCAGTAACCTAAATAATGACTTTCTCACTTAAAGAAACTGGTCCAGATGACATGATTTAACATTCTTTGTAGTTGTCTGATGATTGAGCTTACAACCATTTTTCTGAACCACTTTGGCCTTGATTGTCTTCAGGCTGTTTCTGTGAGTAGCAAGTTGGCCATCTGGCCTAAAACGTTTGATTGTTGTACATGATGGATCAGTGGTTAGCATTGTTGCCTCACAGAAAGAAGGTCCTGGGTTCAGTCCCTGGTTGGACCTGGGCTCTTTCTGTGTGGAGTTTGTATGTTCTCCTCGTGCTTGCGTGGGTTTTCTCTGGGTACTCCGGTTTCCTCCCACAGACTAAAAACATGCATGTTACGCTGCCTTCAGGCCCAGGCCTTCCTTGCAAAAGAGATTTCTGATCTCAGTTGGATTTGCCTGGTTAAATAAAGGTTAATAAATAAAAAAAATGATGACTGATTGTTTGGATGGGTGTGCTTCACACATGTTAAGTCTACTTTTGAGATTCCAACAGGAGGTTGGCTTGAAACACAGCAGTGAAGGCTGCCTATGGGACAGACAGATCTGGTTGGCAAGCCGTAGACCAGGGCTATTCAACTGGCAGCCCGTGGGCCGAAAATGGCCCGCGGGTGACTTCAACCCAGCCCACTTCATTTAAAAAGAACCCCCCCCCCTTTTTTTGGGGGGGGGGTCTGGGTTCTGTTTATTGCATTTATAATTCAACGCAATAAAATAAACAAAATTAGAAGGTAACAGATCATTGTAAACTTTGGATTATTCACATAATGATTTTAATCGCTGGACGTCCTGCCCCCGAGCTGCTGGCTTTCAGAAACTTTGGCCCTCTGAGCAATTTTGTTGAATAACCCTGCCATAGACTGAGGAAGTCTTCTGGATTGGGATGAAACGCTTCTCACTTAAAGAAACTGGTCCAGATGAGACAGTTTAACCTTTTATGTTTTTCAAAAAAAGTTAAGTCTGGTCCTCTGGACATTCAAAAAACAAAACGAACAACAACAAAAAAAGGTAGAAACGTTTTGTCTTCAGTCTGACTGAAGAAGTCTTTCTAATTGCCAGTGTTTTATAATGAAGTTACATTTTTTTATTTCAACCATAAATTTGAAAATAAAATATTTTCTGTTTTTTGTAATGGCTTTTAGAAATATTTTTTTAATTTGCTAAAGTAGAAATCCACTGTAAATAAAATAAAATAAAAACTGCAATCAAGGTATTTTAAATTTATCCAAATAGTTCAGCCTAGAAGAGTAATTAAGCTCAGGCAACACAGTCCTGTAACTTACACATGATGTGCAAGTTTTCAACCAAATCTGCGTTTTGGTGGACTTTCTTGTTTCTTGTTTGTTCAAAGTTGCCACACAGAGCACCGTCACGCTCTAAGCAGCTCCTTGACCTTTCTCCATCTCTGACTCCTTTCTGTTTTCCTTCCCAGTGGCTACCATGACAACAGAGGCGAGCGCTGTGAGCGAGGCAGACACGGAGGGCAAGCAGAAAAGCAGCGGCGCTGCGCCTGAGTCAGAACCTGAGTCAGGAGATAAACAGAAGCACGAGGCAACAGCATCTGAACAGGAGGGGGAGCCGTCGAGTAAGAAATCCCAGGAGCAGGCTGCTGAGCCTGGGCCCGCTGATGGAGCTACCTCTCCTGAGGAGGAGCAACTGAAGCCTCAAACTAGAACCTCTGCAGGCAAAGGCCTCTCACGCCTCTTCTCCTCCTTCCTCAAGCGCCGCTCGCAGTGCTCCGAGGGCGAGGGGTTTGAAGCTGAGAAAGCCAAGGAGGAAAAAGAGGAGAAAGCTGAGAAGCAAGAAGAAGTGAAGGTGGAAGAGGTGAAAAAGGAAGAAAAAGAGTCTAAAAGTGCAGAGGAAAAATCAGTATCCAAAGAAACTACAAAGACGGAAGAAGAGAAAGTAGAACAAAAAGTAGAGAAAAAGAAAGCAGAAGAAAAAATAGAAAAGAAAGGCAGCAAAAAGAAAAAGAAAGAATCAAAGAAGAAAGTGCAGGAAAAAGATGAGGAGAAAGTGAAAAAGGACCAGACTACAAAGGAAGAAGAAATATCAGTAAAAAAAGAGGAACAAAAAGAGGAGGAGAAGGATAAGGAGGTTGTAGAGAAGGAGGAGGAGGAGGAAAAACCAGAAACAGAAAAAGGAGAAAAGGAGACTGTTGAGGTTAAAGACAAAGGAACACAGGTTGGAAGGAAAGAAGAGGGGAAGGTTGACAAGAAGGAGACAAAGAAGAAAGAAAAGGAGGAAAAGATAAAGAAGAAAGAAGAGGAGAAGGCAAAGAGGAAAACTGAGGAAGAGGAAAGGATACGAAAACGAGAAGAAGAAAAATTAAAGAAAAGAGAAGAAGAAAAGGCAAGAGAAGCAGAAAAAGCCAAGAAGAAAGAGGAGGAAAAGGCTAAAAAGAGAGAGGAGGGAAAAGCAAAGGAAGAAAAGGCTAAAAAAGAGGAGGAAAAAGCAAAGGAGGAAAAGACTAAAAAGGAGGAGGGAAAAGCAAAGGAGGAAAAGACTAAAAAGGAGGAGGAAAAAGCAAAGGAGGAAAAGACTAAAAAGGAGGAGGGAAAAGCAAAGGAGGAGGAAAAAGCAAAGGAGGAAAAGACTAAAAAGGAGGAAGAAAAAGTCAAAGAGGAAAAAAACAAAAAGAAAGAACAGGAGAAAGTAAAAGACAAAAAGGGAAAAAAGCAAGAAGAGGATCAAAGAAAAGAGGAGTCCACAAAAGAAGCAGAAAAGGTAAAAGAAGAAGCTAAGAAAAAAGACAAGGAAGAAGAGGAGGAAAAGACTGAAGAAAAGCAGCAGAAGGAAGAGGAAAAAGGAAAGAGAAGAGAGAAAGGAAAGAGCAAAGGAAAGAAAGAGGAAAGGAAGGTGAAAAAACTGATTGAGGAGCCGGTGAAAGCACCGATTGCTGCACCAGAGCCCGAGTTAAAAACTGAGGCTGAACAGGCTCCAGATCAGCAATCGGTGAGCAGCACAGAGGTGAGAGCCATGATTATACACAAACCCTTTACTGCAACACCACAAACCTTACCAGCAGTGCGTACTGCAGCTAGTCATGGGAAACGATCATTGTAATCTATTTAAAATCTACAGTCTAAATACACTCAGAGTCAAGGCTATACAGTTATAGTTCACTTGTAGTCCTGCAGACATCTTTGATGAAGCTCGTGTTTATACATTAATGATGTTTATGTGGATCCTATCTGATTCAAGTGGACGTGCAAAATATAAAACTGAGCTTCCAGTTTGAAGTTTTGAATTCTAGTTGATATTTGACAAGTTTTGCCCATTCTTCTTCTTAAGACTTAGACAAGTGCATCGCTGTCACCCTTGTGTCTGAAAAGCAAAATTTCAAGTTGGCAAATCAAAGCAACAATAATCTCATAACACAGTTTAAGGGCCTTAGTTTAATTAAGAATTTTCAGGTTGACTTCTAGAACAATAAATTATCCTGATGCATTGTTTTGAGTGTTTTAAGCATGATTTCCTCCATCCATTATCTTTTACCCACCGCTTCCTTTCTGAGGCACAATGTCAAGCAGTCACTGTGCAAGAGGCGGGGGACACCCTGGACAGGTCTCCAGTCCATCACAGGGACACATGGAGACAAATGAGACAACCATTCACACTCTTACTCACACCTAGAGACAATTTAGAGTTACCAATCAGCCTAACATGCATGTTTTTAGTCTGTGGGAGGAAACCAGTGTATGCGGAGGAAACCGCATGCAAAAAGCCTCGGGCTGTGATTTGATCGGACAACCTTCTCACAGAGATGACAGCTCTACTAACAGTGCCACTGTGCAGCCCCCGTCTTCGTTTGTTATAAATCCTACATTAGATAGAAAATAATAACTTCCCCTGCAAACAGATTCATGTTTTACCCCAAGTTGCAGCTGGTAATTTCATGTCATTGTGCCTGATAGCCTGCTTATGCAAAAGTATTTGTGCAAATTTTACTTAAAAGTGCAGTTTGCAACAGAATTTTATTATTTTATTCATCTTTATTTAACCAGGCAAATCTCCCTGAGATCACAAATCTCTTTTCAAAGAGGACTGGGCCTGAGTGCAGCCTAACATGCATGTCGTGGACTGTACCCATGCTGGTTTCACTGTTATAAACATCTGGATATTTGCTTTTTACTAGATCTGCTCTATTCAGTGCCATCATCACTTGGTTCATTGTACCCTATTGACATCAATATGTGACACACTGTTTCAAGTTTTTAAATGTTTTGTGTTGATCCAATCAGCCAGCTCCAGAGGAACCGAAGGAAGAATCTGAGATCAAGAAAGAGCCTGAAGTAGTGGAGGAAGAGATAAAGGAGGACACAGACAAAATTGAGGAGAAACCAGTGGAACGGAAGGAGGTGACCACAGGAGAGGAAAAAGCCACAGAGCAGGCAAAGAAGAAGAAACCTGTAAAAGAAAAGAAGACTGAAAAGAAGGTGGAGGAGGCCAAAGGCTCCAAACGTCAGAGAAACATGCAGTGTAAAGTCACCTTACTGGACAACGCTCTGTTTGAGTGTGAACTTGACGTAAGAGACTCACCAAAATACACTTTGTTCTCTGTGTGATCATGCAGTACATGTGAAAATATTAGACTAATTTCTGTTTCTTATTTAGAAACACGCTAAAGGCCAAGAGCTTTTTATGAAAGTGTGTGATCATGTCAACCTGCTGGAAAAAGATTATTTTGGCCTTGCTCATTGGGAAACTCCAACCAGTAAGGTAGGCTCTGCAAATCCTATAACTTGAGTCAAAGCAAAATAAGATGTCCTGATGTTTGGTTTGAATGTGCATGTTTTCTATGTTTGCCACAGACATGGTTGGACCCCGTTAAAGAAATCCGGAAGCAGGTTCCTGGGGCTGTTTACGAGTTCACATTTAGTGTGAAGTTCTACCCTCCTGATCCAGCACAGCTTACTGAAGACCTCACCAGGTATGCATCTCTGGTGCTGAAGGAAAAACCCTTAAAAAAGAAAAGACATACATCTGAATGGTTATAAGCTAGTTGTTTAGCCTCTCAGAAAGCAGACATGTTTTTCAAGCTGCTAATTCAGTAGCATCAAGGTTCATCCCTAAATATTTACAGTGGTCCCTCACTTGTCGGGGGGGTTACGTTCCAGACAACCCCACGATAGGTGAAAATCCGCAAAGTAGGTATGTTATATTTATTTTAGTGTTTATATCAATTTTAAGGCTTTATAAATCCTTCCTGCACTATTGCAATGTTCTTAATAATGTTCTAAACTCTCTAAATGCTCTAAAAGAGCACAGCAAAAGAGAGCAGACAGACTGATGTTGCGGTTACTGAGCCCCTGGGGCAGGATGGCCATCGGGAGCACCGGGGCATTTCCCGGTGGCCTGGACCACTCAGTGATCGCTGACGGGGACTAAAGGCTCGGTTTGGGTCATGCTTGATTTTAAAAAACAATCCATGCCGCTCATGCAGCTCACTCAGGTATAAGACAGAAACCTTGTCCCCTCCTTTCTTTTTCCGAGGCTGTCTCTGCTCTGCTGTGACAGACGTCCTCAGAAAGAGAAAGGAGGGGGCGGAGGGTCTGTCTTATACCTGAGTTAGCTGCGCTTAGCCACTCTCTCTTTTTTAAAAACTGATTCACTTATTTTTTCACCTAAGCATTTTCTCTGATATTCTACATTTGTTTATCTGATCTGTTCATCCCTGCTCCCTGAGCAGTAGTGATGGGGAAAGACAGACCCTGCCCCATCCTTTCTCTTTCTGAGGCTGTTTGTCACAGCAGAGCAGAGACACAGAACAGGTTGCGCGCCTGCCTGTTGTGTGTCTCCTCTGCCTCAGAAAGAGAAAGGAGGGGGCAGAGAGTAGAGTCTGTCTTTCCCCATCTCTAGTCATGTGTCATGTACAATTATAGTTGAAAACCCGCGAAAAAGTGAGTTCACGAAAGTTGAACCTCAAATTATCAAGGGACTACTGTATGGTGAATATAGGAATCAGCATTTTTCATCTTCATATCTTAGTTTTTTTTTTCTGCTCACTTTGTTCCAGGTACTTTATGTGTCTCCAGCTCAGGAAGGACATCTTACAAGGTGTTCTTCCTTGTTCCTTTGTCACTTTGTCCCTGCTGGGTTCCTACACAGTCCAGTCAGAGCTGGGAGAATATGACCCAGAGGTTCATGGAACAGACTACGTTAAAGATGTGAGCCTGGCCCCCGGACAGAGCAAAGAGCTGGAAGAAAAAGTGATGGAGCTGCACCGCACTTACAGGTGATTAAAAGACAAAGCATAGATTAATTTTAAAGAAGATATAAACACTTAGTTTTTATTGTATTATACAAGTATGCTTAACAATATTTTTTGTCCCTGTTGCAAAGAGGGGAAACTGGAAATACCCTCTGTCCATCTGTGTCTGTATTGTGTGCATAATAACTTGAAAAATAAAGTGAGGTACCAGCTGCCATTTTAATGTGTGGCTGCATCTAGGTGTAAGAAAGGTCCCTATTGAAAATTAGACTGCAACATCAAAATCCAAGATGGCTGCTGGCATACATGTATATATATATATATATATATATATATATATATATATATATATATATATATATATATATATATATATATATATATATATATATATATATATATATATATATGTGTGTGTAAATCCTGATTATTTGAGGAAACGATGTGTTCTAGTTTTTGTGGTGGTCAAGGCCACCATAAGCTACCCCCTAGCTCCTCCCATTGCATCTGGTGATGAGGTTTCTCCCTACACTCGCCAGGGTTCATCGCTCTGTGCCACTTCGGACAACCAAAAACAGAAAGCCAACCTTTTTTTTTATACACAGTGTGACTCATACTCACTTGAATGGCTTTCACCCAAATTATTAAGGTTTATTTGCATTGCTTGTTCAGTTCCAGTCAAACACTCCAAACATTCACTATTCAGATCTCTCAGCGATGGGGGACGTCATTGTACCTCTTGCTATTCTTAAAGTCGGATGATAATTTAATTTAAAGATTTCTCTCATTTGTTTCCAGGTCAATGAGTCCAGCCCAAGCAGACATGTTGTTTCTGGAAAATGCTAAGAAACTTGCAATGTACGGTGTTGACCTGCATCAAGCCAAAGTGAGTACTTTTATTTTTGTTTCTTAGTTGTTGTTTTTTATTGTTCTTCTTGTTTACTTAAGCAAAAAACGTGGACTTGTATATCCTAAAAGTTGAATGTTTGATTTAATTTTTAAAATGTTTCACAGCATTTTGAAACAGCGTGCATGTACTGCATCAGTCATCAAATTTAATTACAAAATTGATGTCATTCTCTTTTCAGAAAAAACAAGGGATTAATAATGTTTGAAACCTCATGACCTCAAACCACAGGGTTTGTTTTCATGAGAAAGTCTGCCTCCTAGTGACTATTTTCTTTAAGTGTGGGAAGATGGACACTATTTTTATTTTCCACGCAGGATCTTGACGGTGTGGACATTACACTGGGGGTCTGCTCGAGCGGTCTGATGGTTTACAAGGACAAGCTGAGGATCAACCGATTCCCTTGGCCCAAAGTGCTCAAAATCTCTTATAAACGGAGCAGCTTTTTTATCAAAATCAGGCCATCGGAGGTAAAATCATCCATTTTGACTTTTAATGTTTCTGCCTGGTTCCAAACCTTGCATCTAATTCAAATGCACTATCCTTGTTCTGGTATGGGGTTCTTATTGTAATTCTATGAAAAACCTACAAAATAAGAGTTGGATTTGCTCAAATAAAATTCTTGGGTTCGTCTTCAATTTTTTTCTGAATGCACAACATTGTAGTTAGACTTGTAGTGTTATTATTGACTTGTACATTTTTTAAATATTATATTTCTTATACATATATTTGGATGGTAGTTGATGCAAACCCCACAGAGGCATTGTCTCATTTTCAGATGCAAAACAAATATAAATGAAATGATTAAAGTTCATATAAATAAAACATAATAATGCAAAGTAAAATTTAGCATTTTACATGGCAGTCACAGTTTTTTATCATCTGTTTAGAAAAAGGAGTTAAGTCAATGGGATTTTCATTGCATCGGTGTTGTACTGCTAATAATGTTGATCAATTTTAATTTGTCTTTTTCACATGTAGCAGGAGCAATATGAGAGCACTATTGGCTTCAAACTTCCCAACTACAAAGCCTCAAAGAAGCTGTGGAAAGTTTGTGTTGAACATCACACTTTCTTCAGGTAAACACAAGTTTTACTTCCTTAGTTCTGACTGACTGTTTTCTGCCTAGCAACAGTCTTGTAACGGTTGCTGCTGTTTAGATAATTGGCTAATTGCTCGCTACAGCTTAAGCTTTAGTTTGGCTCAGCAGAGGAAAAGTGCTCCTAACTTGACTTTAAACCTTAAAAGTTCAGCCATGCTGCTCATACTGTTGCATACAAATGACATTTTATGATTCAGATGTTAAATCCTTATCTACAATGCAATAAAATGATCAAATGGAGTCAATATTAGGTTGGTAAACATAAGGTTATTGTATCTCCTGCTTAGGGTTCAGTCGGTGGAGCCGCCATCGTCCCGTCGCTTTCTTGTTTTGGGCTCAAAGTTCCGCTACAGCGGTCGAACTCAGGCCCAGACTCGAGAGGCGAGCTCCATGATAGACCGCCCAGCGCCTCGCTTCACACGTTCAGCAAGCAAGAGGCTGTCGCGTAACCTGGACGGAGGTAAGTCCCTGTGTGTGTAAGACATCCTGCAACAAGCTGCAGGCTTGATGAGCTGCTCGCTGACGTGTTTTGCTCCTGCAGCTGGAGACGAGACTCTCCAGTTTCTGCAACAACTCTCAGCATCCACCAGGTGTGAGACTGATGACTGGTCATTAATGATGACACCTGATAAATCTCAGCCTTCTCTTGGATTTCCAGGTACCAGGAAGTGTGTGGAGACTTGCACAATGCCTTTTGGCATATTTCTAACTCGCTGGCTGCGCACTAAGGGCTATCAGCTTCATCGCTTCTTTTCAACCGGCTCCTCTGTTCCTGTTTATTTACGTTTATGCTCTAAAAGTTTGTAATAAAAAGGCTTTTCAGCATGGTTACCAGCTAGGTGCTCTGGATTGACTGGAATTTCATCAGTCAGGCCTTTTAGTTTCCCTTTAATGTCTTATGGGAAACAGGAACAAGATATAAAAGTTCCTCATTTTTAATCCTGAAATCGTTCCTCTTTTTTTTGTGTGTGGCATTTTCAAGTTTTACGAATAACTAATGGCTTTCACTTTGTTGAGCCCAGTTGCTTACTTTTCATTGCTGCAGCAGCTGTCTTTGAAACATCTGCCATCTGCTTTTGTTCTGGAGAATAAGATGCACATTTCATCTTTCTTTTTGCACTAACCTCGTGTAACTGGACTCGCCAATGGTCCAGCGAAGTCAAAAGCTTGCTCGAAGCATTGTGAAGCCTTCACAGTGATCGTTTGTTCTGCTGAGTCGTTACATAACTTCCATCCCCTCACCGTGTCTTCACAGCCAGAGGGGAGCCAGAGCAGACGTTCACTCAGTCCTGGGAAGAGGGACAGTCTGTTCACACAGTCACAGTAACCTGGCAGGGCACTGAGACCCAGTCCGTGGGTGGGCCGGGTCAGCCAGGTACTAACATCGCCTCTACATGCTCGTCCATATTTTTTATTGTTGCCCATCATTTGCCACGTTGAGCTGGATTGTTAAAATTTGCACAGTCTTCAAAATCTCTTAGAACTTTACTTCATCCATTATGAAATCAAGCATGAAGACATTTTTGGTTTCAACTATGTGCCTTTTGAGGTTTTTACATTTTGTTTACCAAGTACAAAGATGTTGCCTATGATTTCTCTGATGTCATCAGCCAAAGCCAGCTTGGTAAGATCTCCCTCCTTGGCTCGACTGGTACAACCTGCACTAACACAGCGAGATGACTGGTTCCTGTACTTTGACCAATACTTCAGCTCACTTGAGCGCACTGAAATGCCTCCGTGTAAGTTTCTTAGTGTGAAAGATTTTATTTCCCAGATGCATTTAGTGACGTTTGGTAGTTGCCATCTGCGTGATTAAAATCACAGCTCGGTGTATCCTTTGTCATCTCACTTCTTCTAGTCTCCACCGAAGCCCAGTCCCAGCTCGATGTGCAGGAGCAGGTCATGTCTGTGACCAAACAGGAAGTGTCCACTAGGGAAGTCATTGAACGGCTGCAGGAATCGGTGACCTTGATAGACTCTCTTCAAGAGGTGGAGGTTTTGGAAGGGAAGCTGAGGGAAGTGAGGGACTTGGAAGAGAGGTTGCAGGATATAGATGAGATGGCTGTGAGAGTTCAGAAGATAATAGAAGATGAATTGGGGCAGGAAGAGGTTGACAGGTTGAGAGCAGAAGAGGCTTTGGAGCTGAAGCGACAACAAATTCAAGGTGGAACAAAGGTAGTGGTGAAGAGGTCTGTGAGGAGGATGGAGACTTCAGCAGGTGATGTGGATGACCTGGAAGATCAGATAAAGCAGGTGTTTTTTAAAGATCTGCCTGAAGAGGAGGAAGGATTTAAGGTGATTGAAGAGAATCAGTTAGATGATAGTTCGAGAGAGAAACTACGGCAGATGGAGAAGGAATGGCAGGAAGAAGTGCGGGAGAAGTTTTCCTCTCCAGACGCTGCAGGTGCCACTTCTGTAGTAGCATATCGAAAGACGTACGTGCGTACGTCTGATAAACAGGTGAACATTGTAGAAGACAGAGGACAGGCTGGAGATCAGGAGGAAAATAAAGATGGTTGGTTCAAGCTCTTCGACCGCCCTTCGTATCTCGCAGCTTTCAACCCAACAGGTAAAGTACGTTGTCGTGCAAACCGTTTTGGGCTTTTACTGACCTTTCTAATGTTCTAACAGTGTTGCGTGCAATAACGATGATACGGCAAGCAATAAGAAATTAACCAACTACCAACATGACGCTCTGCCTCGTGTTAGACGTTTGAGTAAGTGAAGCTTCGTGCAAGTGGCAACCAGTTCTGCTTCATTGGCTGCGAGCTTTTTTGGACTTGCTCGACACATTTGCTCTTGTTTTAATTTACTTTGTGTCTTCGCTCTAGTTGATGCTGATGAGAGCAGGTATTTCAGCTCAACGCATGTGGGAACAACGGAGATTATGGAGGAGGAAAGGCAAAAAAGAGAACTCATAAAAAGGGTGGATGACTGGTTTATTTTGTTGGATGTTCCTCCTGGAAAAACATTTTACTTACCACCAGGTATCACTAAAACACAATACACTGTTTTTCTATATTTTGTGCTCTTTTGCTTACTTATAAAATAAGTGCGCCCTACTTGTTATGATACAAGACTTTCTTCTGACTCTACTCATCAGTTACAATAAAAGAAAGAGCCCAGGTGGCTGATGGGAGCTTTGTCTCTGTGGCTGGAGGTTCTCAAGAGGAAAACATTTTAGTTGGAGAGAGCAAGGTAATACGAAGAGATCTAGAAGAAATCCACCAGCTGTCGGTGACCGAGAGATCTGATGACTGGTTTGAGTTGTCGGATGTTCCTCCTCGAAAAGCAGCATACGTTTCATCAGGTACAGACAAAAATCTGCTGTGCTGTTCTGCTTTTTGAAAATTTTTAAATCGGAACAAATTATTAGTCTAATCATTTTTAGCTTTTCCTTATGTCCTCACATCCGGTAGCATCTGAAGTTTTTATGTGTGTTTTTAGTTGCTGAAGTGAGTGTAGAAGAAGGGGTCTCTCTCATTAAAGACAAAGCTGTTGACCGGAAAGAAAAACAAGTAGAAGGTTTTGTAGAGGACTTGGAAATGAAACAAATACCAAGTGAGACAAAAGATGACTGGTGTGCATTGCCTCCCATTAAAGAATCATCACTTGTGTCCCAAGGTATTCTCTATTTTCCCCTCATATTTAGAGTTTTAATTATTTCTCATTTCATCTGACAGAGTTATTTCTTTCTGTTTATAGTGTTTGTGACCGGGCGTGTTCAAGTTTATCAAAAAGAAATTGAAACAGCTGTGATAGAGTCTGAGTCAGCAGGTTCGAGCAAGAAGGATGTAGTTAAGGAGGCTGTGACTCGGAAACAGGACGAGAAGCTTCCAGAGCAGAAAATATTAGAACGAATACATGACAGGGATGATGATGATTGGTTGCTGCTGCTTGAAGTAGTTTCCAAAGAGGAATCTTACATGCCTCCAGGTATTTTAAGCTTTCAAATGTTTGCATTTGCTAAACAAAATTTTATTTGTATTGTCGAGTGGTCACAGTAGAGGTATAAATATTTTTCAGTTTCTGCACAGCTGCCAAGTAAAGTCTTACCAGACATCCGAGCTGAAACAGAAAGAGTAAGTCAGAAGTTGTATCCGACTGCGTATGGCCAGGTTGGACCGCAGCTTTTCCAGCCACTGCCAGAGAAAGACGATGACTGGCGTATTCTGTTTGATCCTGGTCGTGAAAAGGCTGTTTTAATCCCTCCAGGTATAAAACTGATTTCTGTTCGCAGCCTGTTTGTTGTTCACAACTGAAATACTAGTGTCACTCAGCATCTTTCACACTTTATTTGTGCCCCAGTTGAAATTATTCAGGATGTGAAGAAGACGTTTGAGCGTGAGGTGACGACCACAGAGACTAGAACGCACAAGGAGATGATAATTGATGTTAGCGGCAGGCAAGACGTGGCTTGTTTTTCTGGAATTAGACTGAGCCAGATTGAGACGCCGTTAAGCAGCGAAGGAGAGGATGATTGGTTTTTCCTGCTGGACTTCACAAGAGAAAAACATGCAGTCGTACCACCAGGTACTTTTCCTTCGCCAAAGGCTTTGTATACACTGCGTTATTTGCGTCAGGGTTATTTATATTCATGTTTCTGTATCAGCTGCTGTGGTTCAGCGTGCTGTTCGTGTAACAGTACCCGCTGAACCAAAACCAAAGTTCGTCATGGAAGATGTGAGACCGCGTATGACGTCGGTTAACCTACCGCAGTCCAGAAAAGTGGATGATGATTGGTTTGTGCAGCTGGATGTGCCAGCTAAAATATCAGGTACACTGCTGTCTGGTGTGGCTGCTGCTAAGAGTCAGAATCAAACGTACTAACGATTTTCAGTGTGGTTTGTTTGTGTTTCATCTACTAAACTGATACCCAAAGTGCTATATTAAAGAAAATGTTCATATATTTTGATGTGGGGTTCTGTTGGAAAGGTTATGAACAATTATTTTATCTTTTGTAAATAGCTCTTTGAAGAACCTCAGTTGTTCATCACTTGACAAGCGAACTACTAGTCTGAGCGCGACTGACTTCAGTCTAAAGAATTTCATAATTCATTCAACCTTTATTTATACAGGTTAGTCTCATTGAGTCATGAGGACTCATCTACAAAAGAGACCTCTTTAAAACAAAAAACACAAATGAGGTACACACAACAACAAATATTCATATAAAAGCATTTAAAATGAAAAGTATATAAAATAAGTGATATAAAACAAAAATTTAACAAAAACTTGCTACATTATAAAACGGGGTAAAATACTAAAAACAGGAACACGTCTGCATTGATTTTTACATTGAACTTAACAACAGTTTAAAATCCCTTAGGGAGGTCAAAGTCGAGAGCTTCAGATCTTTTTGCAAGGAGTTCCAGGAAATGGGAGCGGAGTAAGAGAAGGCCCTTTTGCCAAATTCGTTCCACACTGAGGGGGACACTGCAGGTAATGAAGTCTTGAGAGCACACCTTGCAGCTGCACTGACAAAGTGACATGTTGGAGGAGTTTTATGAAGGCAGCAGACCAAGAAGTGATTTAAAGATGAAAATGCACCAGTGTGAGAGAGTGTTTGAAGTTGACGACCAGTTAACCAGTGAATACAGGGTGAAGTGATGGGTACGGTAGTTGCAGCCAGTTATGAATTTTAACGCACCGTGATAGACCACGTCCAACATCTGCAGGGTGCTTGTAGGAGCGTTCATGTAATTAATGTCACCGTAATCAGTGGAGGGAAGGAAAGTTGCAGTTACAAGGTGTTTCCTAGTGTTCAGAGTTAGACAGAATCTATTTCTGAAAAAGAAACGCAATTTTACTTTCAATTTCTTTACCAAGTTTTCAACATGAGGCTTAAGAGAAAGATGTGTGTCAACCAAAATGCCCGAGTACTGTATTTGTAAGAATCAACAAACTCATTAGGAACACCATTTGTAGATAAGATAGAAGGAAGGACTGCTGATACTGACTTCCTGTTTGAAAACGACATCCCTTTCGTTTTATCAGCATTTAGCACCAGTTTGAAATGGAACAAATTTGACTGGATGATGTCGAAAGCGGATTGCAAAAGCTGGAAAACCTTAGCAACTGTTCTAGCTCAACAATAAGCAACTGTATCATCAGCATAGAAATGTATGGATGCATCAGGAATGATCTGATCTACATTACGTACCGGTATGTAGATTGTGAAGAGGGTGGGGCCTAAGACGGAGTCTTGTGGTACACCATTATGGTTCATGAAAACACTGTTTCTAAACATTCACACCGCCATCAGTTTCAAATGGTATGCAAATTATTAGTAAAAAATATTAATATCCTCCTGCCAGAAGTGTCCCAGGCTGCACAGGAAATGCTACAGCTATCTGCTGCTTCCTTGCTTGTAAATTACGACAGCATTCAATGTAAATAACTGCTATATGAAATTAATGGTGGTGTAAACATTCGTATGAGATAGTTGTTGAGATTGGTGTTAAATAATAAAACATTTTGTTAAGCACCCTTCAGAACAACTTAAATCACTTTTTTTTTATTAAACATAACAAAAAGCAGAGAAGGGGGTAGCTGAAACAGTGAGGTGGATGGGTGAAGATGACCTGAGAGTGCAGAAAATGTGTTGATATGGATCAGTTAAGGCAGATATGAATGGTGAGAAGCAGAATTTTTTAAATGAATGCAGTAGATAATGGGAAACCAATGAAGCTCTTGAAGACGTGAGCAGTTTGCCTTTTTCTTTGTTCTGCCCAAACTATCCATTAGCTTATCAATCTGTTGAGAATTAAACCGTTTCACCAAGTTGAGGTTATTTAAAGAGCTTTCTATAACGGATAAGATACAGATGTTAACTTTTCTACCGAACCCCTCTTCAAAAGATCTAAACTATTACTTTAACAAGCTGAATAACCTTTTTCACAGTTTTGTGAAACTGTGGCTGCTTTATGTTTGTCAGAGCTCTTAAGGATATTAATTTGAGAATTCAAAGGCTATTTTTCAGCACCAACAGTTAAATTCAGATAGAAGAGATCCATATCACATAATTTAGTCTTAGCTTCATGTTCTGTGTATTATGTGTCAGCGGCTGTGGACGAACGTGTTCGCTCTGGTCCTGAGGCGAGAGCAGCTGAACAGTTGGCAGTCACAGCGCACCGAGTACAGAAGACAATTACTATAGTGGAAGAAACGTGGCGACAAAAGGAAGTGGTGCAGCCACCTCCAGCTCTGACGGCAATGGAAGATGACTGGTTTGTTCTTTTGGATTGGCCCTCTAAGAAATCAGGTATAATCTAACAGCAATTTGTTCAACTAAACATGCAAAGATCTTTTTGTTGAGCTTCATCGAGGGTGCAAAGTCGTGAGTCATGTGACTCTTTAATTTAGATGTGGCTGCTGTAATCCATTTCTCTGTTCCCATTGGTGTATAACTGCTTTGAAACGTCTTTGCCAAAATATTACCAGCATCTGTATCGGCCGCTGCCCCTGAACACATCCGGCTCCCAGCAGAGGTTGGACTTCCCGCTGTAGCAACCACAACAAAGATCAAGGTTTCTGAAAGAAAACCAAAGTTTGAGAAGCGGATCCTGGAGGAAAGACTTCCACTCACACATACTCGTGTCAGTGATGATTGGTTTTCTCTGTTAGATGTTGGCTTCAAAGAGTCAGGTATTTTTTTTACTTGTTTGGGTTTGTTTTACTCTGCTTCATAAAATGCTTACTAACAGCAGCCAGGATACACTAGATTCTCTTCTATGGATCAACCATTTGGCTTTACGCTTCCTTATTGTCCACATTTTGATGGTTCATCATCATTGAGCTTCAAATAACAGCCTAACAAACGACCGATCGTAAAAAAAAAAAACTTGCTTCTTTCATTTCACTTTGAACATTACTGCTTCTTGCCCAACTCACATTTGCTTTCAAGTACTGGAAACAAATACGGTAGAGTATTCCCTTTCAGGATCTGATCACAGTGAGGCGGAGTTCAGTAAGTATGATTTGCTGATTTGGTTGCATTTAAAATGCTCAATGTTGCGTTGGCGTCTCACAACATATTTAATCACATCTGTTAAAACAGCTTGCATTATTTTCTTATTTTATTAACCTTTATTTAACCAGGCAAATCCCATTGAGATCACAGATCTCTTTTGCAAGGGAGGCTCCCAAAGGGAGGGGAATTAAGATCATAAACTGCAATTGAGTCACCTTTTTTCTTGATTTTGTCTAGTTGTGAGCACACAGAGGGGCGCACGTCCTGTCAGCGCTCCGGTCTTCTCCCAGGCTGCTCTGGCAGAGGCAGGAATCCCCATGTCCCCCTTCGACCAGCCTCAGACCTCCACTCCCATTAAAACCAGCCGCCAGGAGGACAGGAAGCTGGAGGTCACGGTGGAAGCTGCTGAGCCGTCAAAAGTTGAAGCCGCATCAGAGGTCAAGGTATTCTATTCCTTTGTTTACTAATAAACATGTTTGTGGTGTAAATTCAGTGCACATAAATGCAATGCAGCAATGTACTGTATATATTTAAAGATTTTGGAAGTAAGAGGTCAATGAATTATTCATAATATGTCAGCTGGTTCAAAAGTGACAAAGATTGAAAGGAGAGTTTCAAGTGTGTTCTAGTTTTTATCCAACGTGAGCAGAAATGTGTATCTGAGTGTGAACGTGTCTCTTTTGCTGCTGTAGTCAGCAGTGTGGAGGGAGCAGAGAGACGTACAGTCTTCACTCATCTCCACCTTCAATGGTGACGTTCAGGTCAGTGGCAGACATCATGCAGCGTGCATGTCGTCCCTCAGAGGACACGTTTTCATTATGACTAATTGAGACGTCAGTGCTAACTCGTGTTCCTGTCTCCTCCCCGGGTTAGCACGAGTCTGAGCTCGAGAAGACAAGCTTGGAGGGGGTGCTAATGCGAAAGGTCAGATTCTCGGCGCCAGTCGTGCTAAAGCCATTTCTCCTCCTCCAATCCGACGATAAAGAACTTCTGATTTGAAAAGGCTGATTGAAGCCTCCTCTCATATTGTGCTTCCATGCCGATAGATCTAAAACCAATCAGACAGCAGGTTTGATGCACATACAGTGTAATCCAAGAGGTAGAGAAAGCAGTTTGTGTCCATAATAAGTCTTAACTAAACACTCAAATCAGCCTGTTCAGTGTACTAACCTCGGGATAAGTTAACTGTTTCAAAGTCTTCAATTCCTCTCACTGCTTGTAAACACTGGAATGCACACATGCATGATTTTAAATTAATGGGCGTTTTGTCAGATTTGTCACCATTTATTTTCAAGTTGTACACCTAGAAATAAATATTCAGTGTTTTTGGCAATATAGTGCAGTTTGGTTTGCAGCAAATCATTTTGCATGCAGTCTTCTTTCTCTTCTCGTTTGTCGTATTAACACATTGGTGAACTTCACAGAGTGCATGTTTTACGTGTGGCAGTGTGCAGGGAAACTGAACAATACCCACACTTTTTTGTTCTTTCCATTCTTCACAGAAAAGAGCTAAGAAATATGAGGGTGACACAATTTATATCAGACATAGCCTTTTAATGCTGGAGGTTTGTATCTGTTTTGGAGATGTCGAGCTGCATTTTCTTGCTCTGTGGCTCACCGGCTGCTGTTTAACCTCACGCTTGCATGTGGCTTGATTTGTTTGTTTGATTTATTTTTGTTTTTTGCATCAGTACTAAATAATGCGTGTGGCAAATTAATCCAGTTGATTCAGGAGGGGGTGCTGATGAACTTTTAACAAAAATAAATGGGTACTTCTTCACGGGGGGAGCCAAACTCATTCAGGATGTTGTATTTCATTGATTCTAGTATTGTGATGTGACATGGAGCTGTGGTTTTTATCTAACACGGAACAAGAACTTCTTATATGTTTTACCGTATTTTTTGCTGTATACGTCGTTGGTTTTTTTGCATAATTTGCATGCCCTGCGACTTATAGGCCGAAGCTACGTATTTATGGATTTTTTTCCCATATTTATAAACCAAATTTTGGCTGAAATTTGACTTTCATTCATTCATTCTGACTGAAAATATTGAACACTACCATTTTTCAGCCGATAGATGGCACCAGAGTTGTATAGCATGCCATTGTCTTCTAATAGGTAAAAGTGGCTATTAATGACACAGTCGGCTTGCCATATACCAGCTTGCTTGGAGCAACTAGCTTCATTGCACTGCGCCGCCCCAGCGAAATGCAGCTAATTTGACTAATAAAGTGCATTTATTAAGTAAAAGTTCAAATGAGACACACCTTTGCTATAATGTCGAGCAAACAAATAATTGTTTTAGGTGCTTATCTTGTTAAATTTTGAAGAAATGCACGCTCCCGGAGCACCGAGGTAGCAAATACTTTTGAAATGCAGCTGATTTGACTGCTAAAGTCCTTTTTATTAAGTAAACGTTAAACTGAGGCACCTTTATTATTATTTTGAGCAAACAAATTTTTTTTAAGTGTTAATCTTGTTAAATTCTTGTTAAAGTCCTCCCGTGCACGCTCCTGCGGCTGCCATTTGGCAGCCCATCAATTTTTAGCACAACACTGGCCCACATTTCCGGGTTGTCACCGCTGATGCGTAACGAACGCGACACGTCAGCGGTGACGAATAATGGGTGCGACGCACATGGCGAAGCAATGTATTCATGGATTTTCCCACTTTATTAGACATATTTGAACTGATGCGACTTATAGGACGGAGCGACGTGTGCGGCGGAAAATACGGTACTCTGTTTTTAATCGTCACTGTTGCTGCTTCTGCTTTGTTTTCCTTCATCTCTTTTCTAAGTTACAAGAAATGCATTACACTTTTGCAGCAGTTATTACAAAAAGTTTTTTTTTTTTGTCAATTTAAGCAATAATAATTACAAAAAAATGGATTAAGACTTAAAATGAATTTGCTTTTAGGCACCAAAACAGGTGTTGATGAAGAAATGAACTGTCTGCAGTATGTTATGCAATGTCATATGCTGCTTTATGAAGACCAACTTGTTCATTTGTCCTAAATGAACAGGTTTTTCTATTCTTTTTAAGAGATGCTTCATCTTCCGCAACCTGTGCTATGTCATCAGCTCTCATTTGATTTGCAGCCTGTTCTCTCTGCATTTCACTGCAGTCCTAATGCCGTGACCATGAAATCAAATTACTGTGCTGTGTATTTTAAAGTCACCGCTTGTTCACAGCGTCAGTAAATCAGCTGACAGACTTAATTTAAGGATCAGATATGCTAATACAGCACGTCAGAAAACTAGAAGTATTTGCACTTCTAGCTAGAAGTGCAAACATTGAAAGTGTTGGCTCCTTCTGTTTGGTTTTATTGAATCACCTGTTAACACTGCTTCAGCTTATTCATGTAATCAGAATCAGTTGATTTTGTGGCTCTTTGTTGCTAACTTTGTTTTTATGTTTTCTTCTGTTCCCGAAACATCCTTTTCTTTCAACCTGTTCGTCTCCCTCATGTACCTTTTTGTGTCTATTTTTTTTTTTACCTGTTTTTTTCTTGCTTCAATTGTCAAATTCCACCACCCATCGTTGTCCCTTTCCCTCCAAACACCGTCCGGTCTCTCCTCCATGCAGGACTTTGACGGACCTCAGGAGGAGCTGATCCGGCACCATGCCAGCATCAGCGAGCTGAAGAGGAACTTCATGGAGTCTGTTCCCGAGTCGAGGCCGAGCGAGTGGGACAAGCGTCTGTCCACTCACTCTCCGTTTCGTACGCTGGGTATCAACGGTCAGCCTCTACCCGGTGCAGACGGGGTAAGTGTCCCGCAGGAATCAGGTCACCAGCTTCTTGTCAGTTCAGGAACTGAGAGGGGAATTTAAACATTTTAATGGAATTAGCTTCTCCAGATGATCAGTTCCTGAACTGAAATCATCACTTTGTGGAAAGACTTGTCTATTGCATCTTAAGGGGAGTACATTTGATGGTAAACTGAGCTGAATAGAAGTGGATTAAGACAAGAGACAGTTGTCCAACAGTTTGAGCAGTGTGTACGCATGTCCTGCTGGAGGCTGTGGCATGTGGTGTGCAGCACATGCATGTGTACAGAGAATGCCGATGGCCTTGTGAAGTCGGGCCTGCGCTTTTGTTCTTCCACATAAGAGAAGAATGCGGGTGAGGTTTCTGTGGGACATGTTGTCCACTCTCTGAGAACTCACTTGGTCTGGATCTAATCTGCATTGGATCTGAAGCCTGACATGTTTGCGTTGCATGACTGACAGACCTGACTGAAAATTTACTGCATGACTAAAACATGACCACTTTCACAAAGGTTTGCACGCTCTGACACCGAGGGCTGTTTCCCTACCTTCCCTTTTCTCTCTGTTCATCCTCTTTTTGCTTATTTAGTTTTTTCTTTGCTGCTTTCACTTTATGTTTGGCTGATGTTTCCTCCAGGTCTGGTTGTTCTTTCATGAAGAGACACAGCCTCATTCACATTTGCGTCAGACGTTACACTGCTTTAATAAACATTAATGCAGCCTGCCCCAATTTAAAATATTCTAGTAAGAAACTAAAACCTTTCATTAAAAATAAAACAGTATAATAACATGAAGACTCAACTTTAAAATACTTTTACATTTGAGTACACCAGATTGTCAGTAAGTATTAGAGATGCACTGAAATCAATGTCATGTCACAAGTTGGCAAAAAATAGTTTAAAAAAACAGTTTTGCACACATTAAAGAACCTCTTGTGGAACGAGACACACACTATTTATTCTTGTTTCACTTTTTTTTTATGAACTTTTCAGTTTATTAGTCATCATTAATGTGTAATTACAACAGACTAACATCTGTTAAAAACAGAAACAGACTTTGAGCAGCAGACATAATGGAGCTTTATTACAATAAACATTTTATTTTGGATCATTTTGCTTCTTTCAGCTACTTGTATCCAGATTATACCCCATCGTTGTACAAACAGAACATCATGCTTAACGGGATGTTTGTTACAAGTTTACTGAAGTGCACAACTTGCAGTTTAAAAAAATTAAACATTATTGTAAAATGTTGCCCTGATTCCAAAACAAGAACATCTATTAAAAGCATACTATATGTAGATGTTGTTCAGTGTATGGCTCATTAAAAGTTTGACTAAACTTGACATTTGCTTTATTGACAATCAGTTTTTTAATATTTTGGACTTGAGTACAGTAGTCCCTTGTTTATCGCGGGGGATCCGTACCCTGAAGCCCTGCGATAAGTGAAAAACCGCAAAGTAGGAATAGTAGTAGTATGTAGCAGTTTATTTTAGTATTTATATATACGTATATTAAGTCGTTTTAAACCATTCCCACACTCTTGCAATATTCTAAACAATGTTTCTAAACTCTAAACGCTCTAAAAGAGCACAGCTTGTCATGATTTCAGCTCTCTGCCTCCCGCTGCACTCTGCCACCTGCAAGCACTCTTGGCCACGCCCACTTCTCCGCTGCAGAGTGACACACTGCATGAAGAAGCTTCTCCTGCAGCTGTGGGCTGCACACAGGTGCTAAATAATTTAAAATAATTCATTTTAAATAAACGTTTCCATGCAGATCATGCGACTCATCCATCATTCAGCCAATTGTGTTATGTCCAATCTTACTTTGAAAAACCATGATGGAGCGAGTCCGCGAAAAACTAACTGCAAAGTAGCGGGAGACTACTGTACTTAAATTTAAAAATATTTCAATCTTGTTCTTTCATTTTGAATTATGTGGCAAGTGTGGATGACTTTCTGTCTTTTCCAAAAAGTAAATAAGTTTGTTGGGCATGGAGAATAAAGATTGCATGTTAAAATGCATGTACTGGTGTTTCCATGCTCTGAACTACAAAACATTTAAAATCTTTTGTTTTTAAATTCGAATATTAAGTACTTTGAATAATTACCTATTGAAAATTCTGGCAGTGTTTTGGTCATTGCAGACATCTCCTTCCTCTCATGTCTTCCCTCCTTCCTCCTCCTCCCTCCTCTCAGTTTGTCATCCGCCTCCCGCGCGGCCCTCTGCTAGACTTCTACTCCAAACGCAGCTGAGGGGCCGTATCAACACTTCGGAAACCTCCATGCAGGTGTGACCGTGACCCACGGAGACAACGTCTAGCCCATCTACCATCATGCTCTACCTTTCTTTTCTACTTCTGTCCTCTGCAACACCACTCCAGCATCCTTCATCCTTCATCCTCTGCTCAGGAAGCTGCAGCCTTTTACCTGACTTCCTTTGAACGGGACTTTTTCTGATTCTTTGCCACGTCTGCACGATCCGTTCAGTTTCTCAGATACAGATTTCATCTCTAAAGATTGGTTAGGGCTGGAAATGAGTCCAACATGTCAGTCTGCTACTGTTTAATCATTTAAAGATATTTACAAATTATCATATATTTAGTAGTTTTTACTGTCTCTTTGAGCTTGTTTTTGTACACATCTTAAGTACTTTTACTGTATAGTATCACTAGAGTTAGGGTTTTGTTTTTATATAAACTGATCACTGTGACTTTTTTTTAGTCCTGAAAGCACATGAAGTACACACTGCAGGTTTGGTTCAGGGGGAGTTTAACATTTATTAAGGTGGGAAACCTTAAGGCAGCTCAGTTGTAAAACTTTATTTGTCCCTCAGCAGTATGAGGAAAGGCAATATGTGCAAGTTGCGAGAGATTTCTTGTTGCATGACTCTTTGACAATCAACTTAGACCAAGAAATAAAAGACATTCCATCTACAGCTCAGGAGATGCTTTGTTCTTTCATTATAGATGCTATGTTATTCAAGTGCATGGCTGTACTCAACTAGTTGTTTATGGTGTCTTTGTAAGTCCTCACGTTTTATCTCATCTAATCCGCCCAATAAATTTTAAAAATTGTCCAAAACAAAAAAAGCTGTGAAACTATCTAAGTTGGCAACACGCTGCGAAACTCAAAATACTTAAATGTACATAAATGAATTTACGTCAGCAACTTTTGGCTGAATTTTATTTTTAACGCTTCTTTTGTTCTTTGCAAGTGTTGGTGAAAACTGGGGTCTACAACTCAAAGCAGAATTTATAACAGAGTTGTAGCAAAAAATTGTATTAAAGCTGCACCTTTTAAAGTAAAATGAGTTATTTTGTCTCAAAAAGATAAAACACGTTCAGGTGTAAATACCTACATGATAAAATAAAACAACTGAAAGTAATTTACAGTTAAATGTAACAAACAGACCTTTTTTTGTTTGTTTGTTTTAACAAAAGTTATAAGGTAACGTGTCTAAAAATGATCATGTTCACCAGAAATAGTATCATAATTGTGTACTTGTTATTTCAAAGTAAAGTCCAATCTAACATATTATCCACCTCTAATGCAGAAAATAGGACAAAGCTAATGAGACCAAACAACTCCTTGAGGTTTCTTAAAATTAGTTTTGGTTGCACAAAATTAAAACTAGTGGAGATTTGAAATGTGAAAACACAAAATTAAAAAGCCAGAAATATTCACAACTAGAAATTAAAAATTTAACATTTTGCAACATATCTTAGTTATTTTTATGCTCTGTTTTTAGTAGAGATTTATGAAATGAACTTGGTGTCATATTTCATAGTAAAAAAACAAAACAATATTCAGCTGAATTCATGTTGCTCCAGTCATCTGGAGTGTCAACCTGTGGCCTGCACAGTTCAGCTGTAGCTCCAAAAGTGATAATTTATTAAAAAAAATTAACATCATACCATCTTCTTGACATCTGTCCTAATTATACTGTCAGACCTGACGTACCTGCATGCAAACATTTTTGTGTCACGTGTGATACCGAAGAGCTGCCATGATCCCACAGTGACTGTGTTTGTCTTTTTTAGAGCGTGTGCATTAGTTCCCTTTGCAAACCTTCAGAGACTAAAGCTTCTCACGAGGAAACCATCAGTAATCGGAGCTTTTCAGACACACCCAGCCCCACAGCGAGCCATGAGAGCGGGCCTGATGGTTTCGAAGCTCTCCACGCTCCTGTTGAGGAGAAGCCACACGATCACGAGGAGGTTGTAGTTTTTGATCCGCTCTTGGTGCCGATCGTAGAGGTGGAAATGGCCCAGCTGGCTCCTCCGTCCTTCGAGCCTTTCTGTAAAGGTTTAGCTGCGGTCCAGGAGGACGAAGGACTATATCCTGGAGTGTCGGAGTGCTCCGGGAGACCGGTTGGATCTTCCCAAGCTTCCTATTTCTGGAGCGATGGTCCACAGGTCATACGCTGCTTCCAGGTAGTCTCCTGAATCCCTCAGGGTGGGAATGCTGCTTCTTTCTCTGCTCGGCTTTTAGCTGCCACACTCACTCGCTCCTTTGCAGCACGACGCATGAAAATGACAAACTATTTATAAAGGTGGTGAATACAGTCAGAGTGGTGAGAATTGCTTTTAAATGGAGTTTTAAATGCTGCAGAGGTGTTGGGCAGTGGTGTTCAGAGAGCTTCACCATGGTGACGGCTTGCTCTACAAGTACTTTGACACAAAAATGATTACATTTTCTCAGTGTGTCTAATTCTAATACACTTGAGACTGATTTCTTCTGTTTTATGTGTGATAAATCCTAGCAGGAAGGAATATAACACGCTTGTCTTTCAAATATAATTCAAACTAACGTGGGCTGCTGGTGGTGGAAATGATTTGCACTTAGGAGAATGCATGGTGTGAGAGGACACAGTTTTCTGTGAGGCGTCCGGTTCAACTCATGGGGCTATGCTCCCATTCACAGCCCCCTCTGGTGCAGACCCAGACTGTTACCATCACAGCTGTTTCAAACACCCTGTCCAGCAACGTCTCCACCACAGAGGTCCCCATCATCCCCACCAAGACCTTCACCTATGAGTCTTCAAAGGTAGGGGCTCCAGCAGCAGATCTGCCCATCCTGCAGGAGGTCAGGTTGGCATCAAGGAGAACTGATGACAAGCTGCACTGGGTGGGGGTTGGGGTGGGGGGTGCTCACTCCACTGCACCTTCTCTAACGGGAGGTCAGAGTTACTTTGATTTGATTGATTACTCAGTGCTTTTTTTGTTTGTTGTTTTTTTTTCTCAGGTGGCAGATGAAGGAACAGACGAGGACAAAGACACCACAACATTTTCCAGTTCTCAGACCATTTCCTCAGAGACGACCAGCGGCACCACCATCACCACCACCACTACTCAGATCTCTAAAGTTAGCAGAACCGATTATTTCCCCCTTTATTGGTTTCAGTTTAATTTAATTTAACTCTTAAATACATTAAACACTTAAATACTACCCATACAGGTAGTGAAAAGTGGATCCACGGAGACTCGTGTGGAGAAGAGGATCGTCATTTCTGCAGACGATGACGGAGACGAGGTACAGCATTTAATTAAGTTACCACCTGTTCATTACACAAACGCCATAAAGTAGGACCTATGCAAAAAAGTCTTAAACTAACATACTTATTGGTGTTCTTTCAGCTGTTTCAGAAAATAAAATGTTGCACAAACTTTCATTTGATGACGATAAAAAGTTTAATACAATTTCTAAAAACCAGTCCATTGAGGACACAGAGAAAGATCTGTCAGTATCTTGTAATTTGTGCTTTTGCAACAAATACCTGCACAAATCTAACTTTTTGAATCTTCATTCAGTTACAGAGGAGATGGTTTTCTATAGTTGGTATGATTTATTTTAGGGTTGTTCAAAGTCAGTACCAACTCAAAATCTTCAGGAAAAACAAGAAAGTATCTAGGGATGCACAATATTGTTGGCATGGTATCGGCCGATAGTAGTGTTAAAGTTAAATATCGGACATCAGCCATTCCATCAAAATAACTTACCGATATAAAAGGCGCTGTTTTTGTATGACAACCCAGTGAAAGGATGCCTGCAGCGCCAGCACATGATGACGTCACGCATGCCTACCTGATCTGATCATGGTGGAGAAGAAGTCAAAATGCACCATGCACTACTACTTCTGCGCTTTTCACTTGTCGTTTGTGAACAGGTTGAGTTTAGATTTATGAAAATGTACAAATTTGCACTGAGTGTTGTCATTGTATTAGAGAAGAGTAAATGTCATGAATAAATTTGACATTAAAACATAATCCAAGTTGAAGTGTTGCATCATTTTCAGCCCCCTTTTTGGCATCTGCATTTGTTAGCAGGCCAAACTTACAAAGTCCATGCAGAAGAATGTAGTATTTTAATTCCACAGCAGAGAAAACTATGTAGTCTCTGTAAGTAGGTCTAGGAAACAAAATATCAGTATTTGTATCGGTTATTGGCCCAACAAGTTTTAACATATTGGCATATCAGATATCAGCCAAAAATCCCAATGTCGTGCATCCCTAAAGATATCTACAGACCTGCCGGTGTGTCTTATACCTACAGATTTTCTGCCAGTTTAAACACATCTCATTTCAGGGAGCTGTACAGATAAGCTCACCTTTATCCTCCTCTTAACTTAAAAATCACCCTGTAGCAGTCTTGGAAGTAAAAACCCAAACTTTTATTTATTACCGACTATTGCTATTAACTAAACAATAAAATAAGTAAATGATAATATAAACGGTTTCATATTTGACCTAACTTGAGAAATGATCTGTGATATTGTATTTTTCTTTCAAAGGTCAAGTAGAAAATGTTATTCTTTTCCTAGTGACAGAATAAAACCTGTTTTCTTTACTGAGGATAACAGAAACCCAGCAGGTATCACAGTTTAGATTAGGTCCCTAAAAGCATCTTTTCTAACGTTTGCCTTTTAAAAGCTTAAATAACACCAGATCCAACACACAGAAGCGTTCATGGAGCCAACGAGTGACAGAGAAATTACTGTGCGAGCTCGTCGGTTTAATATATTAATTATTATTCATATCTCAGGTGCTTATTGCCACAAAAGACAGACTATCATGTAATTGCCTGTCTTGTGTGTGCATGTGTTCGTTAGCAAAATATCTCTTGAACCAGTGGATGGATTTTTTTGAAACTCTAAGAAAGTAACATATGTGACCCCAAAAGAGCCCAACTGGTTTATTATGACTGCTACAACTTACTGGTGTCAGTAAACCCATATGTGGTTACAGCTCAGCCTGTTTTCCATGGACTGCAGTGTGGTGTGGTAGTAGCTGAGAGTCTGCACCGTCACATGCTTTGAGAGCGGTCGTACAAGAGCTTGGCTTGAAACTTTGTCATGCAAGGAAGCGAGATCTAAAACTCTGCATCTCAACTAACGAGTTTGAAACATTGATCATTAATAAGGTTATTGTACCTTTAAATGTTATCAATTTTAAAATGATGAAATGGCTTCCCATCCTCAGCTGAGGTCTGTGCAAACTGAAGCTTTAGATTTCTAAAAGATAGCTGCATGTTTAAGTCTTTTCATTTAACAACATGAAGGATGCTAGATCTCCCAAAACGTCACTCTTCTGTTGGTGAACGTGTAATCTAAGTGACAGTTTGTTGTAATTAATCATGTCGTTTGTGTGTGTGTTGCAGGAGAAGCAGGGCGGAGCGTCAGCGTTGTAACGACACTCGTGTTTCTTTGACTCAACACTCGGATGCTCTCCACCTTCTGCAGCAGTTAACACACGGTCACCACTTCTGTTTGTGCACAAGACCTCCAAATCTGCACCCAAAATGACTGATACTTTGTTTTGGTGTTGTTTTAAAGTTCAGTAGTAGGTAGGGCTGCACACGACTGATGGAATGCTTTTATCATTGCTGTGTTTTAAAGGCTTAGTGTGAACATTTGTATTGGTTGAACAACCAGCCTTTCAGTTGAGTGATCTCAGTTTGCTTTAAATGCTTTTATTTTTCAGTGGTTTTTACATGGATTTTTAAAAAATGCTATTTTTTTCCCACTTTTAATTCAGAAACCACAATTAGCTTTTATTCCCTTGGTGCTACTCGTGAAAACGTTCAAGTGAACTCCGAACAAGTTTCTTTTCTTTTTTTTTCCGTTTACTCGTCTGTTCAATTCAGATTTTATTTCCTTTTCTAAAACAAAATACCTCACATCGATACAAAAAATATTCAGTGCTCAAATTTGGAAGGATTATGTTTTCTCGCTCAGGTACAAAAAAAATAAATAAATCTTTGCTCAACAAACTAGCAGAGAACCAGTAGCTTACACGTTCTTGTAAAGTTGGAAGTAAAAATTGATCTATTTTGAAATATTTCTCTATTTTGTAAAAGTATGCTTTTTATAGTATTTGTAAAAAAATAATTGAGGTTTTTAAGTTATTCATATCAGTCTGCTCATTTAACTGCTGAACTGTTAAAGTCTCTATTTAAGACCTGTTTTGCCTCTGAATCATTGTTTCCTCTTGCAGTCCAAGTTTATTCAAGTTTTCACGCTCCACAGCGGAGTGCTGCCCTTAAACATTTTCTTCAGTGTCGTCCGTCACATTTGAGCATATTTTAGGTTTCACTAGCTAAACTAAAAGTTACACTAGCTTTGCTCCACTTATCTCAGGTTTTGATGATGTAAAACTACAGACCTCCACGATTGTATGACGAATAAACCATTTTTATTAGAAATGTACATTGTTGATCACTCGAGTGAGGTCTAGAAAATGTTTTACAATAACCACGTGTAAGACGTGAAGGCAGCTGCCTGAGTATATGTGGCTTTTTCTCTCACAGAAGCAGTTTTTCTTTATTTTTACACGTTCTGCTACACAGTAAATGATTTGTAAAGTCAGGACTGTTTGTGATTTTGATGTACTGTGGTGTTTTAACATGAGCTGCGAGGCTTCAGCTAGAGATGTCGATCACATGCAGTTCACGAAGCCTTTTTTACCACGTAGTTTGACGTAGATCGCTCTCACTTGCTGTACGTTTTCTATAGAGAGGAACGTATGAATCCCCTTTTAGATGAACTGTTTTGTTATCAAATCTTTTTCTTTCTAACACAAAAAGAACCCCTTGGTATTTTAGCTTCATGGGCAAAAACAAAGAAAAAAAAAGACACAATCTTCCCCAGGATGAAATGTAGATTACATAAAAGTAGGTTTTAGACCAAGAAACTATTGTTGCTTTGTGAATTATCCTCGTCTTTTTATGAATAAAAACATATGCATTAACTTTCTTTTTGTTGGGCTGTCTGTGTGAAGTGTACACTTGTTTTACCACAACACTCAACCATCAGGAAAATGACTAGTCGCTTGAATCATTAGGTGCAAAGTATTGTAGCAAGCAGTTTTCTACCCAAGGGTATGGACTGTAATGTTTGTGCTCCCATCTGTACATTTGTTACTAAAATATTTTGAACATCAAGACACATTTTATTTGAACTGGCAAATCATTGGATGTACAACTGATTATTTTTAGAGTTAACCCAGTTCAAGATGGCTGCCAAAGCAACTGACCTTAAAAACACAAAATATGCCTCAAGATTCAGTCAGTTTAACAACTACTGAACTAAATTTTGGTGGTAGGTTTGACCATAACAGCTAGAACTCATTTCTCAACATAAAATGATCTTAAAATGTAAACTTGTGGCATGAACGACAGCGGGTGTTGAGATGAATCCTGAAATCCTTTCATCTGTAGGCAGCTTGAATGTAGAGCAGCTGAAGTTCTTGTTAGTCAGGACTCCAGCCTGTAGGTTTTAGCTGCACATTATATCCCTCTTATTTACCTTATTTACTAAATAAATTGAGGGGGGAAAAAACTTGAACAAACAGAAAAAAAGATATATTCAAACTTTTTTTTTTTTTTACAACTTTATGATTCATTACAATTAAATGTCAAAAGTCTTGACAATCACCAAGATGGAAAATCCTCTAGAAACATTTTTGGCTATTTCCTATAATCCTGCACCTGCTGTGATCACTTTTCTATGAGAGACTCTCAGAAATGATGCACTTAACGTTCAATAAAGATAAAAAATACTTCAGCAGCTGTTTCACTTAATAGGAGAAAAAGGGTCATTTAAAAAAAGGTATTAACACAGACGGGCTTCTATAACTGTACAACCATTTATTGGGAATATATAGTGCACTGCTTCAAACTAGTGGTAAACAACAGGGTCCATGAGTTCATTGTCTTTTCCAAGTGGAGTTCTAGCGAATCGTCTTCACCGGGCTTTTGAAACTTGATGCAGCCTGAAGTTGGAGCTGATAGGCCATTGGGTGAATTTTGAATCCATATAGCCTGAAAAATAAAAAATTTTGGTACAAAATGACACTTAAAAAAAAAAAGGTAATTGAAACTGGTTCTTGTGCAACTGAGGCAGCTGGGTCTCACAATCAGAAGCAAACAGTCTAAATCAACGAGATGACGTGGTACAAAAATGTAGTTTTTGTAAATGAGGTTTTGTGGCGTCGTCATGAGTACTTAGCATCTTACCTGCAGTAGACAGAACAAGCTTATTTTAAAGAATCGGGGCGAAGAACTCTGAATTTCTCAGAGTATAACAACTATCCAGAGCATTCGGCCTTGAGTGAAAATAAGTGCCTTGTGCAATTATGACATTGTGAAAAAAAAATTAGTGAGCTTTTACACGAACCACTTAGCTTGACACGTTAATTAAAATATCCAGAGTAAGCCACACAACCCCACTTCAAAAAGTCTCAACTTTAAATGGTGATGGTTTGATCATGCTCCCCTAATTTAAAATGTTTTAACAATGTTTAATGCAGACAAAGAACGTCTGAACATACCTCGGCACAAACTGGTTGGCCGGTCGCTTCGGTCGATATTCTGGGTGCACCATGAACAACATGTGAGGGAACCCCGTGCCAAAGTAGGCTCCATCTGTGTGGTGGTGTCTGGAGGACTTGGGGGTGTAAACATCCATACACTTTGGGCAATAAAGCTTCACCATTGCTTCTCCTGGGATGTCTGACAAACCTATAGCAGTCAGGAGAGAAAGAGTTAAAGGAGGTTTCATCATGTGTAAGTGAGTTGCTTTAATGTGACGTTGGAAAAAAGTCAAACGTACCAATAGGAAGCATTGGCTGATTTTCACAATAAACTCTAGGGCAATAACCAAAATCCCCCTGCTGATATTTTTCCAGCTACAAAAATCAACAAATTCAGATCACTACTCATGATTTCAGCACACGGCATATAAAAACTCTGAAGTTACTTTTCATTAACCCACCATTTGTGCAATGCCTCTGTTTGTGAGGATGTAGCGTGCATGTATAAGACCGTAAAGCATCTCGGCAGCCTGCTCAATCAAATCGCTCTGGTTCTGGTTATCTTCAAGTTCCTCATCTGTTAAATTAAAAAAATCAGTTTAGGCAGCTCAATCGACTGTCCTCGATTGAGGCCTCCTCGTGAAAACGACTGCTTCTTGACAGCCTCACCTGGCTCCAGGTCGAGAATCATATCCAAAGCCTGGCGGTAGTGAGGCACCTGCTCGTTTAAACCTGTCAGGTTAAACTTATCCTGTATGTAGTCTTCATCGACCTAAAACACAGAAATATGGGATGGTTATTAAGGACACTGATTACTGTTGCTGTAACTGCACAATACTACCATACAGTGGTGCCTTTATAGGGGAAGAATCTTGTGCCTAAGCAGGAAATACTGGCAGGTAACAACAAAGGAAAGATGCTGTAACAGCTAGCAAATGGTTATAACTAAACTAAAAGACACACATCAACACCAGCCCAAAAAAACAAAACAACTTGGGACAGAAAAGCTGTCTCTGTCAGCCAATTTATTTGTAATACTTGCAATAAAAATAAAGTTTTGGGAAAAATGCACACAGACAAAATCAATCAGTGTCAAAAATAAGGACAATACTTTTGCTTGATATTTAATATGCTCTTGTCTTTTGCTGCAGATATATTACTGAATGATTATTACTATAAAACCTATCTATTTTACTAGTCTATTTTCTCAAAACGTTTTGCGTCTAAAGACTTCCTCTCATGAAAATGTACTTGGCTTTTTTTTAATGCATATTGGAAATGTTACTCTTCATAATGAAAACTAACTGAAACATGTGATCAATACCACAGCTGGGCATGTCCAACCTGGAGCAGCAGTGAACCAATGACACTGAAAACCAGGAAGTTCATTTATACAGGTTTAAACCCAACAAACTTAAGAAACTAACTACCGGTATCTTTCCTGGAGTTTTGATCAGAAACAAAGAACCGTTTCATTTAATCCATGTGAGCCTCTCTTCGTTTTGCTCCTGTCAGTCAGTTCTAAATATTGTCTATTTGCTTTTATGTGTTTCTGTTCTCATTATGTTGAAGCAGAAGTCGTGTCTGCAACTGAAAGAAGATGCTGCATTTTCATTCTTCGTCATTAAAGCTACTTCTGTAAGGTTTCTATAAGGTTGTGGTGTCTCTGAGCAAGACATCCAATCCCTAACTGCTCCCCGGGCGTTAACACAGCTGCCCACTGCTCCACCTGGGTGCATCCCAGGTGTGATGGGTTAAATGAAGAGAACTAATTCCGTCATTGTATGGGGGGGACATATAATGATGACAACACATAGCACTTATAAGGGTCAACCTACTAGAACTGAATAGCAACTAGAAAATAAAAGTAGTTTTAGCTCTAATAACCTGTGGTGAAACTGATGCTGCTTACCTCACAGAAGAACTCATTTCCTCTGAGTCCACAGAACCAGGATATCCAGGACACCTCCTCTGAGCTGCTCATCGTCCTGATCAAAACCAGCAGAGCGGTGACCCACCTCACATCCACACCGGCTAGCTAACATGCTAACCAGAATAAAACCAAGCTATTTTATTAAACTTAGCAGAACTACATTTTCAACCCGGGATTCAATCTAACTTTGGACTGCCTCTTTTGAAACGCTACCTAACGTTAGCTTTTCAAACACGCTAGCTTGTGTCGCCCATGTAACGTATACTGAACACGGGAAAATACTTTTATTTATAACATAAATTAAATGTATCAATGTTTGTGAATATATATATAAAAAAAGATGACAAATTCACGTTTACTCACCTTTTTATGAATATTTGTTAATATATTTGTTTGAGAGCTGTGCTAGTAAGTTCTCTCTCCCGAGATGTGGAACTTCCGGTGTTGTGCCCCCGTCTCCGGAAGTACAAGGTTTTCAGAATAAAGCTCCAGGTCGTGACGCGTGTTACCAACGTGCAGAGAACACTGTGCACTGTTGATTGACTTTTAAACTAAACTTAACTAAGTTGTTTTAGTAAAATAAGAAAACTGAAAGAAGGAAGTTTAATTAAACCTTCATCCCCACTTTTGAATAAAACTATGTCCAAAACGTTTATGTTTTTTACACTTTTATGTTTTACACACTTTTATTGTTAACGTCTTTTACACTTTTATCAGTTATCACTTAAGTAACGATTGTTTATTTTCAGACATAAATTGATCAAGTGAATAAAATTGTCCAAATTGGAATGTAAAAGTGCAAACGTGGATTTGCACAACTTTTGTTCAATTTAGTCAGTTGCTTTTCTGATTTTAGATCAGTGAATCACAATACTGTTGTCATTTAACTTCTTCTTTAGGCTTTTCCTTCTGCGTGTGTTGCCACAGAGAATCATCCTTCTCCATCTCACCAAAAAAAACTTTCCATTTAACTACATAGAGCAGGAGTGTCAAACTCACTTACAAAAGGGGGCCAAAATTAAAACCTTTTTCAAACTAGGGCTGGTTTCAGAATCTACATGAACAAGTTAGACACCCAACGTCATTTCTTGGTTGCAGGTTCCTCATCAAGAGTTTGATTAGTCTCATTTGGCATTCTCTGTTGCACTTTTGACATCATAATAAAAGATTATTGAAAAAAAAAAAATTAAAGTGATAAAAGTATTTTACATTTAAAATAACATTTGGTGGCCAGATAAGATGTCATCGAGGGCCACATTTGGCCCCCGGGCCTTGAGTTTGACACATATGACATAGAGCATATTAAGATGTTAGGGAATGCAATAAAAACACATTTAGCTTTATTACTTTGGAAAAATTGCATCTTTTTAAAATTTTTAAAAAACATTCTGTTCTGTTAATGCAAAGATAATTTATTACAAATCTGACTATAAAGCATCAATGAAGTATTTATTCATTTTAAACAATGATAGAGACTCTAGGGGAGGTCTGAGAAGGTTTTGCGAGATGGCGGACCAGCACTCTTCTGCTCCTGCTCCTTTCCCATTCCTTCAAACATCAAGATCCTTAGAAAAGAAACAACAGTTAGCTCATCTTCACATCATTTCCACACATGTTTGGTACTCACATTTATTCAATGCTTGTTTTCACTAGTCTTTGATTCATTTAAATATGATATAACATACTTTGTTTTCAGGTTTTGCTAAATTAAAACAGATTAAATCAAGTATGACCAGTCTTGTAATCTGATCAGCTCAATAACGAGTTATGGTTATTAATATTTCTAGTTGTTTGACACAAATTTGTAACATTTTAATGTTCTTTATCCCCAGTCATCTCCAAACCTAACGTCCCCTTTATGCCACTGTGTCAAAAAATGTTTTCTGAATAGTCAGGTCTGTCACACTCACAGCTTTAGAATTGCATTTCGTTTCCCCAGCATCATATTCAGGAAGTCGTGGTAGCTGATGGTGTCTCTTGATACACTTCCAGCCACCTCTGACATCATCTTTTTCAGCTCTAAGTGGGTTTTGGCTAACCCGAGTTTCTCCAGCATGCGTTTCAACCCCATCATATCTATAAAAGTGTCAGTCCACACGTAGAACATGAGCTAAAGGTGTCACGTGCAGCTTGTGAAGAACGTCAGTCAAGAATGAAAGTTAAAAAAAAATTCTCACAGACACCAAAAATAGTTAAATGAAAAAGTGGTGCATGTTCACCTATTTCCCCTTGGTCGTTAAGATCAAACTCCATGTATTTCTCTAAAATACAAACAAAAAGCGCATTAGACTCAAACTGAGGATTTTGCATTTGATTAATAAAATATTAGGATATAAAATATTGATTACAGCTGATGGCTCACTTTTAAACATTTCAAGTTTTGAAGCCAGATCTTCCTCTTCTGCATACTTTGGATCCGTGAGAAAAGCCTGAAGAGCAAAAAAAGAAATAAAAAGCTGATACACATTTGCATCGCAGAAGTTTCAATTCTTTTCCTGCACCAAATTGTGCATTAATCATCTTTTCAGTTCACCTCATTAACAGAGTTGAGTTTCTCCTCCTGTTGTGATTTCAGAAGGCCGTAAGCTTTACCTCCTGAGAGAAGTCAACAATGAACAAGAGCCCAGTCAGAAGATTGAAAGCACAACGCTTTAAACAAGTTCAATTATCTTAAAAGTAATGCAAGAAACAAAGCAAACAAACCTTGAACACCGCTGCTCATTTTTACGAACCGTGCTGGGAAATAAATCTATCACTGACCGTGAACAGTTTTACTGTCGTGATCGTAAATTTTGTCAGAAGAGGAAGTGAAGTGAAAAATGTTTTGGCCTGCAGGGAAAAGTTCCTGCATTGCATTTAAGGCTGCAGCAAACAGAGGTCAAGTGTGATGCAACAAACAAGAAGTACATTTCACTGCGTAGTATAGGGAAGCATTGCATCGTTCAGGGAGGAAAACGTGTGTTGCTCATGTGCACAAAATAAAGAGATCCCTTTGAGAAAGAACTATGGACTGCTTTATCACTTTCCCCACCCAAATGCTGCTACAATCGTGGGCAACGTACATTCTGAGGGTCAAAAGTGGCTCTTGGACGATCTCAATCTGGCCCCTAAAACTCTTAATTGTAAAGAAAACATCTTTTTTTTTTTTTTGTAAGTTTATGAAAACATTTATGAATTAAACTTAAGGAAGTTTAAATGAAACATATTGAATCAATACATAAAAACTTAAGAATAAGCTATTTTTTAAGTTGTGTTTCTAGAACTAGACTGAACCTGAAAGTTGCCCAAACTCAAAAATATAACTTTTTACCCCATATTTAGGCTAATATATTGTCACAAGAGCATTTTACAGAAAATATGTCATATTTCTACAGTGTATTTGGGGACATATTGTCATTGAGCATGCTAACTATGCTACTACAATAAAAAGCCTGAAAAACATATATATATATATATATATATATATTTTTTTTTTTTTTAAGATTTTAATCTTAATAAAAATTTATTTAGCAATTCTCTATATTTTGATTAGGCCCTTAGAAAAAAATAAGCCCTCCCTTGCTGTAATGCTTTAGTATGGCCACTTGGTGGCACTGTTGCAGAACCAGCTGAAAGGTGAAGAAAAAGGAGGTGAGACTGAAGGTGGTTTCAAGTTGACACCTCTGTATGTTCTGAGGAACTGAGAACTGCTATTAAGTCCAGACTCAATAAAAAATTGTTCTTTTGACTTTGCTCCATTACAAAGAAAATGGTACCTTTGTGTTTGGAGGTTTTCTTCTTATTCTTTATATTAAACGTTGCACCAAACTGTAGAGGTGAGTGTGTCATATTTTAAATAACTAGATTTAAAACAAATTGGGCACATTTTTATTTTCATGTACAAGTTGTAAGAATCTCGGTTTGTAAGGAAAAACAAATGCAACGATGTTTTAAATGGAGTAGATGGCATTATGTGGCGTGTTATTCTGTGCCTAAATGTTCATTAAATCGTAATGTGTCATTTAAACTGCTCGTAGTCTAAATCTATGCTTTGTCGATATTTGAAAGCAGGTGCTGAGCTTGTGTCAGGTGTTAAAGAAGAAGACGTATTTCTGTCGTGTTTAAATTCCAGCGTGATGGATCCAAAGAGCTCACGCCGAGTCAGATGGCTCAAGAGTTCTGCAGACAGCAGTCGTGAGATCATCTTCGAGTGGCCTAAAGAGTCCCAGGAAGTAGATCGTGTGAGTTTGAAAGACGATGGAAAAGGACAAAAGTGTCTTCATCTAAAATCTTTGCAAAAATCAGACGAAGGGCTGTACAGATGTGAAGTCTGGGTAGGATGGAACATCATCCAGGTCAAAAACACATCTTTAAAAGTAAAAGGTAAAGTAGTTTTAATTAACAATTAAGAGATACATTATTTAAACTGTAGATAAGAAATCTGATAATATGTATCGTGTAATATTTCAGACTGCAGAACCCTTCCATCAGCAAAAGCAACAAAAAGTTTTCCTTATAAGCTCAAATGCCAAGTGAATGCATCAGCAGCCCCTTCACATATCTCTTGGGTGAAGCTGAAAGGACACAACGAGGTTCCTGTCAACGCCACAAGGGTCCAAACCAGTGGCCTTTCCTTGATAATCCAGTCTGTGGCTAACAGCGACAGTGGTTGGTACAAATGTTACTACATAGTTGGACAATCCCACCGCTGCGCCATAATCAATCTACAAATCAGAGGTTTGCTCTTTAACCCTAACAGCATGTCTTATCACTAACAGTGTTTTGTGATTAAACCATTCTTTGTTTGACGAAGCAGATGGTGTCTTTGAGGCCACAACAGTTCCAACAGTTCCAGTCCCCACAGCTACGTCTCAGACAGGTCTGCTTGTTTTTAACATTGATAGTCCCTGTTTGCCGTGGCGCTGAGATGATTTCATTTGGTTTCCTTCTCTGCTCTGACAGCCTGGGAGGTTGTGCAGATTGACACGAAGACGGAGGGCAGTGAAACCTTGGCTCTATTTGTGGCCTTGGTGGTTTGTGGGATAATCGCACTCGCTGCACTGACAGGACTGATCGTTTACTGCAAACTTACCACCCAGAGAGACAGACGCCGGCTCCGGAGGCGCACTTCAGGCGGTATCAGTCTGACAGATCATTTACTGACCAAGTATAGCATCATATACAGTGACTGTGGTTCTCTACTTCCTGTACAGGTTGTTTTAAAGACTCCACTGAGTTTTATGAGAACATGACTCTTCCACCTTCTCTTTTACCTGGTGAGTGTCACATTATCTCCCTGTTATTAATAATTTTAAATACTTGAAAACTAAAAATCCCACCACCTTTTATTCTTTTTTTTTTTTGCTGCACTGAAACTTCCTGTTTAAATTGTGAAGATGGAGGGTTTGACAGTAATGTTGCTTATACTTGAGCTAAACTTGTTCAGATGATTTAAACTCACAAACACACGTTAATTCCATCTTACACTAGAGACAAATTGGGAAAGGAATATGTTCACAAAGCAATCCTGCTTTGTTCATCACCTAAAAGCAAAGATGATAACGGGTTTGCATCTGTGTGCGTGCACCTGTTTGACTGTGTGTTAGCAAAACATTGCATGAACCAGTGAACACATTTTAGTCCATTTAAAATGACTATAATCACTGCATCAATGGATGGCTGCCACAGCTAAGTGCTCTTAGCAAAAACTAAATGGCTGTAATTCAACAGGTTTTACAGATAAAGTAGTCCCTCGATATGCCGCGGTTCAACTTTCATGGACTCACTCTTTAGCGGGTTTTCAACTTAAGATTGTACACGACACACGACTGGCGATGGAGAAAGACAGACCTCACCCCACCCCTTCCTTTCTCCTTCTTTCTGAGACTGTCTGTCAGTTCTGCTGTGGCAGACAGCCTCAGAAAGAGAAAGGAGGTGGCGGGGGTGGGGTCTGTCTTTCCCCATTGCTACTACTCAGGGAGTGGGGATGAACAGATCAGATGAAGAAATGTAGAATATTGGAGAAAATGCTTAGGTGGAAAAACAGGAGTGAATCAGTTTAAAAGAGAGAGTGGCAGAGCACGGCTCACTCAGGTATAAGACAGATGCCCCGCCCCTCCTTTCTCTTTCTGAGGCAGCAGAGCAGAGACACACAACAGGTGGGGCGCGCAACAGACAACCTCGGAAAAAGAAAGGAGGGGCAGGGGATCTGGCTTATGCCTAAGTGAACCACACAAGCAGCATGGATAGTTTATTTAAAGTACCATAATAAAGCGTGACCCGAACTGAGCCTTTCTTTCTTTCACTGTACTCTTTTAGAGTGTTTAGAGAATTTAGAACATTTTTAAGAACATTGCAAGAGTGTAGGAAGGGTTGGTTTATAAAGCCTTAACATATATATATATATATATATATATAAATACTAAAATAAACATAGTGTTCCTACTTCGCAGATTTTCACCTATCATGAGGGTGTCTGGACCCCTGTGATAAGTAAGGGGCTTCTGTGTTCAGCTGAAAATCAGCTTGGTAGTAGCTGAGAGTCACTGACATCACATACTCGGACAGCTCACTGATCACATAGTAGGGCTTGTCTGTTTACTGTCAACTCTGCTTAATTATTAGTAAAATATCTCATTAAATGCTGAATGTGTTTTAAATAAATATTCCAACAGATCACATAAGATCTCATGTTTTTTCTTGAGACAGTGCATAGCATTATTTACAGGATTTGACCAAAACTCTTTAACATCGTAAAAGAATCAGTGTAAAACTTTGGCATTATAGACAGCGGGAATATGCATTTTTTTCAAGAAATAGTCCTAATTCAGAATTTTTTTTATACCAACAGAACCGACAGACAGAGTCAACAGTTTGTACCATTTCCAAGAAGAGAGCATGTGCTTATATACCGGTAAGTGTTGCTACAAAAATGTGGATCAACTTTAAAAATCATGTTTTACTGTTGAAGATATTCACTAAAACAATCTTCTTTTCTTATTGCAGTTCAGAATTAGTCGTTTTTAGACATTTGATGGATGAAGACCTTTTACTTCCTTTTACTTTTAAATGTTTTCCTCTTTCAAACATGGTTGCTCACAAAGTTTTCTCTTTTCATGAAAACTTTTGTCCACTTTATTCACACTTCCACATTTTTGTCCAAATCCCTGTTGAAGGACTCGAACACTGATTGATGTTTGTAAAATTCTCGTGTAAAACAGATTTTGAAAACCATGTTTTTACGTCTAAAAGCTGCTTATTTTTATGTTTTAGCTTTTCAATGAAAATCAACAGCACATTGTTTATATCACTTTACAGCTTGTAATAAATTATATAGACCATCATCTGTGGTGGGCACTTCTTTTTTCAACGAGCTCGGCTCCTGCACTTCCTCATCCTGAATGACGTCATAAACATGAGCCTGGGAAAAAGAACATCATAGATGAAGAAGATTAAAATAACATTTCTCTCACTTTTTAAAATTCAAACCTATAAAGTTTTGCAATTTAACCCATTTATCTTTTTTTAATGATACCACAACAAATATGTTGGATGTGTTAAATCACCATAGCAACAAGTGACAGGATTTTCTGTTGTGTTAAAGGGACATTACGTGTGTTTGTGTGAATTACAGTATTTTGAACCTTTTAGTGGAAATTTTCTCTCCTATGTTTATTTTTACATTTTAAAAGAACTGTTTGAAATAACCCCCCCCCCCCCCCCCCCCAAAAAAAAAAAAAGTCTTATAGGAAATTTAGAGACACCATCATGAAAGCACAAAGCTTCCTCTTACCATTGTAATACTTGGCTGTTTGTTTGCTGTAAAAAAAAAAAAAAAAAAAGAGAGAGGTGGGGAAACATCACATGTTTAGTTCAATGTTTGTCATTTTTTTAGACAAAGGCTTCAGTTTGGATGAGTGGTTCCTCTAGCAGATTCAGTACCTGCATCCTTGTTTTGCTTCCTCTTCGTGTGCATGTAAAGTCCTCCTGCAGCTGCACACACCAGGAGGCCGAGGAGGCCCAACCAGGCGAGTTTCTGCAGAGCTGAGGAGATTCAAACCTTTTGATTTCCTTCATAAGCAGAGATATGGTGCATGCTTAGTTAGGAGGAAATATAAGCATGCAAACCTACAGGTATCAGAGTGCCACTTCTTTGACGCCATCAGAGAACCTTCTCTGTACACCGAACAGCTTATGTCATCCGAACTGTTCGGCCAAGCTGGGAGATGGAGCACCATCATCAGCGTGCTGTTGACTCTCATCGATGTGCTCCTCCAGCCCTCTTCGTTAGCTGCAGACCAAGTCAAGCTGAAGTGTTCTTCACAGTCTACAGCGCACGTTAGCGCACAAGTCAAAGTCAGGTCTTCTCTACTTGCAGTAACTATAAAGTTAAGTGGGGTAAAGGTAAAAGGTCTGAGAACTGAGGGCGCTTCTGAACATTATGGTGCCGTTTTCACACCTACCATGCAGCGTGTGCAGCCGGACTGTGTGGAAGACTTTCTGCTGGTCAGAGGCCTCCACACATCGATAATCTCCAGCCTGCAGAGGACTCAGTTTACTGATCAATAACGACGAGCCTTTACTCGTATAAACGGCTTCTGTTGGTCCATGTCCAGACGACATGTTTGTCGGTGCTTGTCGCCTCCCATCCCAATGTGTGCCAACTCCAACACGGAGAGAGGAAGTGTTTCTACAAGCGAGTGACACTGAGTCACCAACTGCAGTGAACACTTCCTCCAGGCCGCCTGCAGGAAAGCAAACGTCACCCTTTATACACATTAAACTTTAAGTTTCAATTATTTGGACGGCTCAGCACCTTTGACTGTCGTCTCGTAACTGACGGAGGCTTTCACCTCGCTGTTCTGTGTCACGTGGCACCTCCACGTTCTGTGATGGTCTGTCGGTTTTACGCGGATGATAAGTTTCGAGAAGCAAGCAGACTGGTCCTCCAGTTTAAATCGTTGACTTTTTAATGGCGTGCCATCCTGGGAAGTCCACCTGATGTGCATGCCTGTGCTGTTGTTGCAGGAGGCATATCCTTTAAATGTGTTCAGGACACACTGAAGCTCCAACGTGCCCTCTGCCGGAGCTGAGGCCTCAGTAACTGGTGAATAATAATAAATATAAAAACATTAGAGTTTCAGTTGAGCCCTAAACATGAGTTAAACACAAGATAATCTCACTCACGTTCAAGAATTCGGAGTGAGACGCTTGAACTGAGCGGTCCACTGTTGCATGTGTACCGTCGTGCATCATCTTGTTGAACGTGAGCGATCTTCAGGGAGCAGTTCTGCAGCAGACGATACCTGCCACCTTCAGAGGACATCAGCCTCCCGTCGGTCACCACCTCAGAGAGCCAGACCTTCATCTGGCCCTCCATGGTCCAGTTTATTGAGGAGCAGGATTTGACAGAAGGTAACCCACATGGCAAAGTAATGCTCTGTCCTGGTGAGACAGCCGTCATCTCATGATCTGTTCGGGAAAAGGGAAATATGCAGCTAGGTTTCATATTTATTGATTGATTTATTTATACAATTCTAACAGTTTTCCAGGATTCACATCGCTGGCATCACAAACTATTTCAAACATAAAATGCAACAAAGTTTCAAAAACCCAAATAATTAAATTTCGAAGACGATGAACAGATTTTCTTTTACAAAATCCTTCCATGGTCTTTTATGTTTTAACTCATGGAAATCAGGGAAAACTGAGAAATTCATTGAGCTCTAACCAAATGAAATGTGAAATATCTGTTAATGATTCTTTCTGGAGCTGTTTGAAGATCCTTGAGAAAAAAAACCACTCACTTATTCTGAAAGTGTCTCTTCTGAAGCAATACTTGTTCTAAAACATGACGAGCTGTCCACAGTTAGTACAGTAATTATGTTTTTTTTAGCACTTTAACATGTTTGATACATTGTACATGAACAAATTAAGCTTTAAGGCTGGTCAAGAGCTATATGCATTCTAAAATATTTAATTTCAGAGCAAAACTGTGCATATCCAAAAACTCAAATGTACTAAAAATGTACATTTGTTACTTAAAGAATAAAAGTTACCAGTTGAATAAAGTCCATAGGCTGCCCATAAAAGAAATGTGAAACAGAGTCCAAACAACAGCAGGGAGCTCATCTTGCTCTTTACAGGTGGCGTCTGTTTCTCACTTATTGCCAAATACAGTACTCACAAAGCAACAGTTTCTCAAAATATATTTTCAGGAAATGACTTACAACACCCTCAGAGGAAACTTTCTCAACAAAACTGAGCATCAGTGCATCAGTGTTGTGTGCATGATGTGATATTAGTGCATGTGGTATTATTCCTGTGACAGTATGAGGTTCACGTTCACTTCGCTCATTGCTACTTATCTGAGCAGATATTTGTTTCTGTTTTGAGTAATATGAATGAAAAATAAAGCAGAACTCAAACTGCCAGAGGAAACATGAGGTGGACATCTGGAAGCTGCTCCAAGGAAGGATTTTAGTTTCTTTCACGTTTTTTATTTTTTATTTTTTTATTTTTAAATGAAAGTTTTTGAGTAAAACTACCTGGATGTGTTTAAGTGTCAGCCAAAATCTAAATACTAAAAAAAAAGAGCTTCAATAATTTATTTATTATATATTTTAAGCTAATAAACAGCCATTCAAATGAGCAGATGAAACAATTAATTTCAGTTAATTGAAATAAATGTGTACCTGCCAGCAGCTTGTGTGCTGTCTTCTTCTTTTTATTACCAACAAAAGAAAATAAAGCTTTAAATTAAACAATTAGACATTTATGTCATATATAATATATCCTGCATGAAACATTGGGATTAAAAGACACTGTTTGTAGAGTTTTTATTTTATTCCTTTAGAGCTCTCTGGCTTCAGGGCTGCAGACCTCCATAAAATCACAGCGTAATGATGTCTGACCACAAGCACAAGGAAACAAAACTTTTAAATATATATAATTTGTGTTTATTTTTTTCACAATTCGACGCCAACCAAAGATTTGCACTCACTGAATCTGAATCTGGACGCTCAGGTGAGCAGAAAGTGTTGAGTATGTTTCCACTAGGCGGTGTTGTCAGTGTGCACGACCAGCCATGAACCACAAACAGGCTTCATTTACTTAATTTTGTTACACACTATTTATAGGACGTCTTCTCTATATTAATCACAGTATGTGTTAAATGTCCTATTTTGTTAAGGAAAACAGAAAAAGTGAAAAAAAAAAGTTTCTAATTGCACTCTAATGGAAAAGGAAAGCAGCAGCAGAGCTCCACACCTGCTGCACGTCAAGCCTCAGCCAAAGGCCTGGGACGTGCAACAACTCTGTAAGCTTTGACTTTGAGCACAACGCTGGCCACTCCTCTCAGATCAGGCAGAGACGCTTCTCCCTCATGAAGGCCAAACTGGAAATCTCTTAGCAAGTAGGCCGTGAACAGAAAGAGCTCCATTTTGGCCACAGACTCCCCCAGACAGAGCCGAGCCCCCCCTCCAAAAGGCATGAGATCGCGAGCGGAGCCTCCCCCTCCTTCCAGAAAACGTTCTGACAACGAGAGGAGCAACTTTACTGAAACGCTGCAGAGCCGATTGAAAGAACCAAACTTCAGGCGGGTCTAAGGGCCCTACCTGGTTTGAAGCTGTACGGTTCAGACCAAACTGCAGGATCGTGATGAGCGCCGAAAAGATTAGGGATGATCACGGTGTTCTTAGGGATGAAATAACCTGCAATGCTGACATGATGCAAAATCAAAATATGAAGTGATATTCTGATATAACGTTGTGAAGGCAAATTATATTCGGTGTTTTCACATAAAGTTTAGCATGAGGTGCATTTGAGTTCGAAACATTTGTGCTACTTTACCTTCTAACATCAGCATCACCCTCATATAATGTTTGTCACATGTGCAGTATTTTTGGACTTATCATGACACCAGCATCATGAATGAACACCGTTTCATGGAGATATGCTCTGACTAGTCTGTCCTGATTTAAAACCCTGTCAGCACTGAATTAAACCAAATTAAAGCCTTTAAAACGTTTTATTGTGTGAATGTTGATTCAGGGTTCACACTTTTATTGTCCTGATTTTCTTTTGTATGATTCATTGCAATCTAACTAGTTCAGCATATTTTGTGCTATTTTTGTCATTCACGTGTTCATCTCATTCGGGAGATGGATGCTCTGACTTTTGGTTTTTGCAACTTTTAAGATAAGATAAGACAAAACTTTATTGGGTCTCTTTATTATTTCTTTATTCAGGTCTCTCTTGTAAATGAGTTCCCGAGACTCAATGGGATTAACCTGTTTAAATAAAGGTTGAATGAATTGATCCTGCAGGAAATTGTTTTGCCAGAGTTTCAGTACAAAAGAACATACACAAGATATATATATGTATAATAATATAATAACAGAGAATATAAAAAATAACAGAGAAGATCATTATTATAATAATATAATACTATTTTTATTTTACTATTTTATTTCCCATTTAAAGACAGTAAGAGCTTTTCAGTTGGTTCAAAACCTTTTTTTATTTTATCTTTGGCATACTTGCACTTTTTTGTCTCCTTACGCTACTCTTACTTTTTTCAAATTTATGTTTTGGCTCAGCTTTTGCTACTTTTAGCCACTAATCTACAACTTTTAGTCTATTATTTTAGCTTTTAGCCAGCCATTTGTTCTAGCTTCTAGCTAGCCTTTTGCTACTTTTAGTTAGCACTTTGCAACTTTTAGCTTTCAGCTACAATTTTCTCCATTTTAGCTAATGCGTTGCTGCTTTTAGCTTTGACAGCTCAGTTTCAGCTTCTTCGGCAAACTTCAGCAGCAAGCATTCACACCGTGTTTTCACAGAAAATAGGTTTTATTCAATTAGAAGAAATTAGAAAGAAATGAGGGCGGCTGCGGCTGAGTGGTCAGAGCAGTCGTCCTCCAATGCAAGAGTTGGGGGTTCAAATCCACCAGCAGTCACATGCCGAAGTGTCAAGACACTGAACCCCCTCATTGCCTCCGATGTGTGTCCCATCGGTGTATGAATATGATTAATATTTGTACATATCTAGTAGAGTGCTGTATGAATGGGAGGGCACAGATTGTAGTGTAAAGAGCTTTGAGTATCTCTATAAGATAGAAAGGAGCTATATAAGTACAGTCCATTTACCATTCAGTTATTTAAAAAATTAAATCAAATGGCACTCAGTGATGTGAGGTTGCTGCAGGTAAACTGACCTGCTGTCTCGGATGGCTCGGTGTGGGACGGCCAGAGGGGCGACCGGCCTGAGTCTGAGCACCTCGCTGATCAGAGAGCACAGGACAGGAAGTCTGTGTCTGTCGCTGTATTTGGGGTAACGCTCCTCTAACACTGTGCACAACTCCTCATACACTCTGGTCTGCACCTGGGTGGTAACAAAAGAGAGCAGACAGAGACTGAGAGAAAAATAATCAAGGTTATGTTCTATAAAAACAAATATTCCCAGACCTCTGGTCTGTGCAGCAGGAAGGCCACGGTCCAGTTCAGCCAGGCCGCCGTGGTCTCTGTCCCCCCGATGAGAAGGTCCACAGTTGCCATGTGGACATGAACATCTGTCAGGAGCTGAAGAGAACAAAAAATAATTTCTCAATATCTTACAAACTAGATAACTTTAAACCTGTCTTTATAATCCTCAGTGTGTGCATACTTCATGTTCTGTGTTGTGATGTTTCTCAAGAGCCTGGAGGAGGGACCCTGTGATGGCCTGATCATTTTTCTTGTCTTGCGACTGCACAAATACAACAAAAGCTGAAGAAGTTAAACATAACAGAGCTATTTCTGGATTTAAACAGAAAACAAGAATCAGTTGATTTATTCAGTATAATTAACCCTCTCTCTCTAAACACTGAGAATTAGTATTTGATTTGTCACTAACCTTAAAATCATCCAGGTGGTGTTTTATGATTTCATCCCTCCTCGCCACCTCTTTTAGAAGACGTGCAAACACAGGGTTTGGTAATTTCTTTTGAGAGAGAAAGTATTTTAATTTGTGAAATTCTGTACAACATAGGATTGTATACGATGTAGATGACAGAAGGCAATACTGACTCTGAGCAGTGGGAAGGAGTCCAGTGCAGAAATCCAAGCGGAGCCCCACAAACCAACTATCTCATTGAGGCAGTGGTGCAGCTGCTGCAGCTCTGATGACTTCTTATCATACTAGAAACATTGATCATCAACAGGCAATCTGTGACCATCTTGATGCAATCCATGCTTCTAAAAAGAGCACCATGAACTAAGACTTTGCCCACTTTCCCAACAGAAACCAGCCAATTACTGGTCTGGCATATTCACAAGCGTTCGTTCATGTGAATTTCATAAACCAGCTCCAGTTCTCCGGAATTCAAAATAAACAGCTGGAGAAAGGACACTCACTTCTTTCCCGAAAGCCAAAGTGGTGATGACGTTACTGGCTGCCACCGTGAAATCTTCTGAGAGGTCCACAGGCTTCATATGATAGCCGATCAAAACCTGAGCAGTAAACAAACCCTTCGTCAGATTATGTGGCGGCACCCCAGATTTTGTGTTTTGGAGCCGCTGCTAGTTTTCTGTACCTTTCTCAGATGCAGCGCCTGCCTCTCGATCACACCGTGCAAAGACTGCTGGCAGCACCTCAGCAAGGCCCTGTGGACGAGACGACGGTGCGCCCTCCACTCCTCCGTGTAGTCCCCAAGAGAAATGTTACGCCCTCCCCCAGACACAACATTACCTGAATCGATGGAGAACTCATGAGGACGTTTAGTGATCACATAAAAAGCTTGATAAAGAGCTTTCACCTGTGTAGGAGACTGGTCTTCCTGCAAAGTCAGACCATTTCTTCACCAGAGCTTCTCGTATGACTTCACTACTACCGAGCACCACCATGGCTTAGAAAACAAAAAAATTAATTAAAATAAAAAAACAAAAACAAAGTGGAGATGCATAATTCGGTTCAAAAACATTTATATGATTCAAGGTTGTTGTGAACAATTCGCAGTGAAAAGTTGTGCGTTATTGGTTGAATATCTACTTGTGTTTCCACATTTGAGGCGGTAAATGCTTCCATATCGTTGTGCCAGATTGGTGAGGTGAATTGGCATGTGATCGTGCGTTAGCTCCATCATATTGCCAATAAGGAATCGGCTGGGGGGTCCTGGGAGGGAGGGTGCTGAGGAGCAATGGAGGAAATGATACAGATGCTGCAGAAGCCCAGATTCGACCCCTAGATGTAATTAGACAAACATGACACTGAAATATCAGCTGGAATGGTTTGTATTGAAAGATACCTGCAGACTCACCTAACTGGTCCTTTTTCAGTAAACGAGTGTTCCTCTGACCAGACATCACCACCAGTAACAGCAGAACAAGCAAACATAAGGCTCCAACACTGATCAGTGATAACTCTGATACCATTTTGTTTCCTACAGCTGGTCACAAAGCAGGTCAGGGCGCTGCTCTTCTCTTTTATAGCTGCCTCCTCTGTGCCGTGTCAGCGTGATAGGATGTTTGCACTAAAATCAAGGGTATCTAAATATTGTTTTAGGTCAAGATAGCTAATGATGAGTGCAATTCATGTATCAACAAGATAGCCTGATACGTGTTGAAGGGCATAAAAATACACCACAGCTTACATAACGATCAGTCATGTTAGTGTTCTTCTATCTTGGTGCAAAACTTGTTCTCATTTATTCTCACAGAACAAAAAGATGACACTCAAAACCCACTCTAGACTCATTTATTCCAATGGAGTAAGGCAGTGCACATTTCATTAAAGTAATAGTGGGAATGCATAGTTTGTGGAAGACAAAAAAAAAACGTAGACTAAAACAGAACATTGTAAAGCTGATAAAAAGGTTACAACCACGTATAAAAGTTACATTGAGACATTTCTCCATTTTTTTTTGTTTTATTTCTCACAAAAACAACTTAGAAAAAAAAAAAAAAAAACTTTCACACTGAATCAAATTGAATCATTGCCGCAGTTGTAGCTTTTGAAACCACTCCATGAAGTTTTAGTTGCAAGGAGACGTCCAGCTGCTGTGACTTTTGCTGTCATCTGGATTTCTGACTTTGTGGAGAGTGATCTTTAGCCATGAGTTGCAGGGGAGAACCTGGAGGGTCTGAACTTCATCTCAGTGAAGGGAATGGAAAAGTCTTTACCTTTCCAGTCTATCCAAACTATCCCCTTTATGAGAACAACAACAATAAATCGTTAGTAGGAATTCAGTGAAAGCTGTAAGAGAAGTTGAGCGGACTGATTTTAATACCTGATTGTTACTGCTGGTGTCATAAAGCCCATTGAGGTTGACCTTGTAGCAGTTTTTGTACCACCAGCCTCCGATGTAGGCCTTGGCACAGTGGATGCCCAGAGAGTCCGGCTCCTTGTCTCTGGTTGAGAATGGACGCCCGTTGTGGTATTTCATTGAGTCACCTGATAAAGAAAGACATTTAAATTGAGAACTAATTCATCACATATACCTAAGAATAGTTTTTTGTATTTGATGTAAAGTGACAGCTTTAACTGATTTCCCCTCATTTTTCTCTCCCTGCCTCTGTTTTCAGAGCAATCTCATTTAATAATTTTTCCTCAGAGTAAAAAAAGCTTAAACTTCTAATTTAATCTAAACTTCTTCATTTTACCTTCAACTTTAGCATGTTATTTCGAGAAAACATTCTTTTGGGTATGTAAAAATGTTGAAAAAGTTAAAAATTAAATTGGAATCATGGTCCGATTTACTGATAAGTAAAAGGGGAGGATTTATGTCACTTATTGAATCTGGACCCCCAAAAGGTAGAAGATAAAAGTAAAACAGGATAAAAACATTTTTTATTTTATATTATCCCCCAAAGTATATATTTACCATGCACTATTTTTAGTTTTAGTTTGAATTTTTCTTGTTTTATTATTTTAGACACCCCTACAACGGAGCATACCATCTTTTGAACTTTACCGCTACGGTGCGTTCAAACGCTACCCAGAAGTTGGACTTTCCACTTCTTTAACGGGAAATTCAACTGGAGTGTCTTTTGTTATCAGACTTCTGACTCGGAAATTTGATTACTGATCAACTCCAACGTCTAAAATACAACAGCTTCGTCGATTATAGGAAATGGTGATAGCTGCGACATTAACCTTCTTATCTTCACTTGCCTGTTCAAATGTCATTAAACATGTCACAAACGTAGCACTATTAACGCCTTTATATGAAAAAAAAATGCTATAATGTTTGAATGCATGAAAACTATAAAGAGCTGCACAGGTATCGGCTCGTAATGGTAATAATAATTAACGTAGTGGGCACAACAAGCAAATCATACTGGTTTTCAGGGACGCAAATTGAATCAAGTTCGTATTGCCGAGGTAAATGGAACGCAACACTCAAACTCCACCCCACCCCCCACACTTTTTTTTCGCATTTAAGAATTTTGACCAAAATAGTTATTGGAATAATTCAGGCAGAACCAAAGTAAGTATTATTATTATTATAAGAATTATTAACTAAGTATTTTTTCAATTTATATAATTTTTTTTACGCCTCAAAATCTCTTAAATAATTGTGCAAAGCAGGCTATTTAAAAACGAAAGCTCACCTTAATCTTTTTAGTATTGGTTTAGCTAGCTAATGTTAGCAAACCTAAGTAAACATTTTCCTCCAGAAATAGTTACGACTAGAGAAATTGCATTTCCTATGAAAATGCAGTGTGAATGAAGAACTAGCTGAAAAACAGCTGAAATTAGCAAAAAACAAAAAAAAAAAAAAAAAAAAAAAACCCACCTGCTGAAATGGAAAAACAAGCTTAAATTAGCAGAAGAAAACAGAAAGAACACAAATTTGCTGAAATAGGTTTAAATAAGCAGAAATTAGCAGAAAAAGTAGGAAAGTAGCTAAAAATAAATTAGCGAAAGGAATGGCTGAAAAGTAGCTGAAAGGCCGAAAGTAGCAAACTTCTAGAAGGAAGCAGAAAGAGCTGAAATAAGCACAAAATAGTTTAAATTACCTGAAAAAATATGAAATTAGGGAGAAAAACAAACAAACAAAAACAAAACAAAAAAAAAAACAGCTGAAAAGTAGCTAAAAATGGCAGAAAAGCTTAAATTACAACTAGGAAGTGGATCGAGAGAGCACATTTGTGCTGAATTAGGCTGAAAAAAGTTGAAATGAGTACAAAAAATGTGGAATTAGCTGAAAAGCTAAAATAAGCATAAAACAGCTAAATAGTAGCTGAATAGCAGAAAAAGCTGAAACTTACAGAAATTAGCTGCAAGGAGCATAACAATTCAATTCAAAGTTTATTTATATAGCACATACACAACACACACATATAACACATATAACAAGCTGGAATTGGAAGAAAGAAGTGAGAAGAAACACACACATGTTGCTTTTATCAGAAATAATCTAAAATGAGCACAAAACCGCTGAAAGTAGCTGAAACAAAGTTAAAATTTGCACAAGCAAACCGAAAGAAGCTGAACCAGAACAAAATGTGAAAGGAACAGTAAAAGGTTGTGAACAGATCTAAAGATTTTAAGGATGTAAAATGAGTTCAATTCATTTTCTATGAGGAAAAAAAATGGCAGAAAAGGCTAAATATTTCAAAAAGCTAAAGTTGCATCAATACCAAAAGTCATTGCAGGATTGTCCTGAAAGTGCTGGATGTTTTGATATAATGAGAAAGATGCCTAAAAACGTATGGAAGAATATAGAAGTGGAAAGAGGATCACAAAATTCAAGTTTAGATAAAAATCAAGTTTGCTAAGCATTCATTCAATTAAACGACTTTTAGGAGTGGGGCTCCTCAGCACTAATATAAACCTACTGCTAATGCTGTTTGGTCGTAATATTTCTCTTTCTGCATTTACGATGATGGTGATGTTTGGATGGCACTTTGTGTGGGTCTGTTTGCTGCCGTGGCTCTAGATTTTGACTGGCATGTTTGTATTGTATGATATTTTCTTCACATCCAGGAGAAAGGGTCATTGTTTTCTTCTGCTCATGTCCTGAGAATATTACGCAATTTCTAGATATTACAAATAATGCATCAGATTGCTTTTAGATATGTGAACTATAATGAAACTTAGTCTCTTGGTTTATTTGTATTTAGAGGGAGGGCTGCTGTAGGCCTTCAGCATTTTTTTTTACCTCAACACAGCATTTAACAATACATGCAAATCCTATTTAAGAGTTGTAAACCTTTGATTTCTTATTTAAAAAAGCTCAGGCTTGTCCATTTTTACCTCAGAGGGTAAAACTTTTTGAGAATAGTGTCACTGAGAATCTGCTCACACTTCAGTCTCTGCAGCTGTTATCTCATTTAAAATAGTGCACCTGCTGTTCCTGTGTATCCAGACACTGTAAGAATGTAGTTCTTCTCCTCTGAAGCGACTGAGAAGTTGGTGTAGTGAGCATAAACTGTGTCATTTCCAGATCGCATGTCCACTCTCAAGCTCACAGGGCCCATACTGGTCAGGTTGTGCAGGAGCTCATTGCCTGGCAGCAGTAAAAGAGAAAGTTTAGAGTTTAGACAGATATGGGTTAAAACAGAGTTTAATCAGAAGTGATAATAATTTCTAACTGTACCAAGCCAGAATTCTTCACTCAGGTTTCCAAAGCCAGCCTTGTAGTCACTCCAGGTTCTGTAGAAGTCGGTTTTTCCATTTGTTCTTCTCTGGAACACCTAGAAAACACAAGCTACTGTCTAATTATTTTGTTTTATAGACTGGCCTGTTTTAAGTGTAGCAGGGAGTTTTACCGTCCAGCCGCCTCCATCAGTCTCCATGTCACAGTAGACTCTCACTGCTTGTCCCTCTCGTCCTTGTGGGTAGATGTCCACCTCCCCCGACTCCAGGGCTCCATTCAGCAGCTCCTGGGAACACTCAGTAGGGAAAGGGAAACGCAATTTCCCTGGGAAAAAAAAAAAGACAACACACAAAAGTTAGTAAAAATATAGATAAAATATATTTCCAAATAGTGAAGATTTAAAAGTAAAAAGGTACCGGTGATGAATTGTGAGGTGACAAGAGATGTGTACTGTTCATTTTTCCTGCCTTGTACCAGAACAGTGTAGCGTGACAAAGGTATCAGGCCTGTCAGTTTATACTCCGTGAAGGTGGGCTCCAGGATCACCTCCTAGCACAGAAACACAACAAAATTAAAACAAAGAAAATATGTACCTTGTAGTTACGTAAATGGGAAATCTCCTCCTTGTGCTAGCTATGAAGTATCATCATCGCCCACCTTCGCCTCCTCTCCCGCCACCTGATAGATCACCCTGTAGCTGTGATAAACGACTGGAGTTCTCCAGGTGATCACTGCGGAGCGAGCACCGACCTCACTGGCTCTAACCACTGAGAAACAAGAGGATTGCAAACATTTAACAATTCAATTAAATTCAGTTCAGTTTATTTATAAAGCACCAAGTCACAACAGAAGTCGTCTCAGGGCACTGAACAGAAACATTCATACACACTAAAAGTAAGTTAATATTATTAATGAGCAGACTGCTTTGAGTTTAACTTCATCACAGAACTCTCATCTTGAGCAAGCATGAAGGCAACAGTGGAAAGGAAAAACTCCCTCATGTAGAAGAACCTTGAGCTCAGGACAAGCGGCCATCTGCTTTGACCGGCTGGGTTTGAGAGGAACAGGAAGGAGGAACAGATACACAAAGTAATTAAACAGCATGGAATACATTTTCATTGTTATGCTGATACACAGTTATATGTATCCATGAAACTCAATGACTCCAATCACTTAGACTACAAGCATGTCTTAAAGACAAGACTGAGGTTTTGGGTTTTGGACCTGAGCATTTTAGGAATACATTTTTTAGTCTTTCACCCTCCTTCGATGTTATTAATCTGGCCTCCAGCTCTAATGTTAAACATCTTGGTGTTATTTTTGATCAGGACATGTCTTTTATCCCCCACATTAAAAACGTTACTAGAACCTCCTTCTTCCACCTGCGTAATATCGCTAAAATTAGAAACATCTTATCTAAGAATGATGCAGAAAAACTGGTTCATGCATTTGTCACGTCTAGACTGGACTATTGCAATGGTTTATTATCTGGGCATCCAAATACTTCTTTAAAAAGTCTTCAGTTGATCCAAAATGCTGCTACTAGAATCTTAATGGGAGTTAGTAGGAGAGACCATATCTCTCCAGTTTTAGCAGGTAAAGTTCTAGTCATGAACTCACACACTGGTCATATCTGGCTGTTGATTGTCCTTATTGTTTCCCTTTTACTTACCATTTGCAGTAGTAAAAGTAGTTGAGATCGCCACACTCTTGAGGCTGTCCTTTTGGCTCAGCACTTTGACTTTGTACAGCGTGCCTCTCTGCAGGCCTTTAAGTTGGTACTGAACTGAGTTTCCTGACAACATCACTGTTACTGTCACATTGGGAGCTGCGGCCAGGAAATAAAACAAACCTCAAATCATTTAATAGCACTGTGTCAGCAGTCATCAGTAATGGTGTAACACTCACTTTTGGAGGACTCGTAGTTAATGATGAAACTGTCAACTTTTCCCAGGCTGGGCGTCCACTGCAGCACAGCTCTGGTGTCAGTTACATTGTTGACTTGAAGATGTGTTGGAGGGGCAGGCACTAAAGTCAAGATATAAGTTATTTCCTTTCTCACATGCCATGCAAAAATAAAAGCATCAGCCTATAAATGTGAGCTTGTCTGAAACTGTACCTGTGGTGATAACAGATGTGGGTTCAACACTCTGAGCCCTGCCTTTAATCGTGGCAACACTGATAATGTAGGACGACCCAGCAGACAATTCGGACAGGATAACATGTGACTGCTTGGAGCTCACCGTCACAAAGCGACTCTTCCCTGACAGCATAAGCACAAACATATTGTAACATTTGCCACATTTTTTACAAATGCAACCAACATTAGTTTCCATTAAAGGGCTTGGACATACCTGTTGCCTTGTTGATGTATGTTACTCTGAATCCTGTAAAAACTGTCTTTGGTTTGGTCCAGGAAACTTCAAGAGAATACTCGGTTACATTGCTGAAAACAAGTTCTGTGGGTGGTTCAGGACCTGAGAAGAGAAAACAAGGTGATCTTTTATTGATTGCCAGCATATTAGTTGTTCACCATGGTTTTAGCACCACTTATAATAATGTGAAAATCATACATGACCATGTTATTTTATTACTAACCAGTAATTGCCGTTATTCTGTGAATCTTGGATCTTCTGTCAGCTGTAGTTCCATAAATTTGCAGAGCATAGCGTGTGTCTGCTCTGAGATTACTGAACTCCACAGAGCGTACATTGCCAGGCACCACCACAGAGATCCTCTTGGTTTCTGTTTTATCTTTGAGTCCAGCAGTTTTACTAGAAGAGATTGTTAAATTTGTGTTTTCACTTTGCACCTCAGTTGAATTCCAGGCTGCAGCTTCCACTTCAAGCTGCTCCTTGTGTTCGCTCTCTGTCAGTGTCTCTTTTCTGATCACAGTGAAGTTCTTGAACATCCCTTGAGGTGCTAGCCATGTGACCGTAAAGTTGTGAGAGGAAACGTTAACCACCTTCATTGACCCTAAACCTCCAGCTGTTTTGGCGCTTGTGCTCTGAATATCTGTTTTGTTTGTGAGGATATTAAGCTTCTCGGTTGTTTTAGTTGTATTTTTAACATGTTGACTTTTTTGTACAGTCTTCTCTGTTTCAACCCCACCTGGAGTTTTACGATTTTCAGTAGATTGTTCGTTTTTATTTTCTGTTTTATCTGTGCTGGTTAGTTTTTTCTCAAATGATTGAGTGCTATCCTTCTCTGCCAGTGTGGACTTCCCGGTAATGTCGTTTTCTTTTTTGTTTTTCTTTGGTCCTGTGGTTTGAGAATTGCTGGTTTCAATTTTAGTTGTGCCATTTGTTTTCCTCTTATTACTCTGTGTTGCATTAGATTGAGGGTCGTCTTTTAAATTATCAAAATGAAGGTATGGTTTACTGTCAGTTTTTTTCTTTTCAGGCTTTGGGTTGTTTATTGGAGAAACATCTTTGGTTTCTGTTTTTCCTTTGCGGGCCTCTTGCTTGCTTCCATCATTTCTTGGAGAAATATTTCCAATAAATTTTTTGTCCAAGGTTTTTTCATTTTCTTGCAGTTTTACTTGTCTTTCTTTCACATTAGATGCTACTTTAGTGCCAGTGGCTTTGTCATCAGAGCCTTCCTTCTGCCCTTTGTCTTCCTCTTTAGGGATGATTTTCTTTGTCTGCGTGGCCATGTTCTTCTCTGCTACTTTTGCATTCTTGTTACCTTCTAAAATTGCAAGGTAGAGGTTAAGAGTCTGTTAAAAATCAAACATAAATACTTTTATAGGAACAGTACAAATGCTTACCTTTACTACACTTGGCACCTTGTGTACACTTACTGCAGTCTGGACCCATAAATCCTTGATGGCAGATACATTTCCCCTTTTCACATTTTCCGTTGCCACTACAGTCGTTTGGGCAATTTGCAGAACATGGACCTGCATGGCAAGAGAAACCACAATTATTAACCAACTTTTGTAATAAGTAGTTTTAAATGTGATAAATTGGTAAGACGTACATTGCTCTAATAGAAAGGACATTGCTTTTTCCAATATGGCCACACGTCCTTTCAGGTCGGCCATCTCAGCTTCACATTCTCCTGTACAGGCACCAGGCAGTAGGCTGATTTTATGAGTCATCAACAAAGGCGCACCCGGCTTCAGCGTCAGCTCCTGTTCCTTTGCATTGTTTGATTCACAGCCGTCACTGATGACCACTTTAATTGGCTGTGAAGGGGCAAGCTTTTCTTTAGCGATGGCGCTGAGTGATGAAGTATGATTTGCAGAGGCTGTAGTTTTATTTTTCTCTGCCGTTGAACCACCAGCTTTGTCATGTTTTGCTGGTGTTGAGGGAACATTGTGAAGATTTGTTGAAGCGGGCTTGTCTTTGGAGGTTTCGTCCTTGCTGGGACGGTGATCGGCATCAACGGTTGGATTTACAGAGGCAGTGAGCTTGTTTTTGACAGTTTTACTGTTAATGATAGAAACAGTCTTCACGGAAGTTGGCTGAGCATTTTGATCAGACTTGTCTTTTATGGCACTCCCCCCGATGGCTGAAGAAGATTTTGGCAAAGTACTGGGATTGGCAGAACTTTGAGGTTTGATTTTTGTAATTTTACTGGTTGAAGGAGCCTTTGTGGATGTTGATTGAACCTTTGGAGCTGCAGTGGGTGCAGGGTTGTCTTTGGAAGCAGTCTGGTTGACTTTGTGTTTGTCTTTGTTCACAACAATGGGGATAGTTGTAGTAGACTTTGGAGTAGCTGTTGGAGTGGTTTGATTTACTGCAATGCTGAGCCTGGGTTTGGTGGTCTTAGTAGGGCTGGCTGTTGTAGGTTTTTGGTTGGGGGCTGAAGTTGGTAAAACTGTCGTATTGACTGTGTTTGGCTTAAGGGTGGGGTGCACAATCTGTTTGGAAGTGGTTTTTGGTTTTAAAAGAGTGAGAACACTATTAGTCTTGGTCACATTGCTTCCTCTGGCATCTCTCTTCAGATTGGTTGTGGTTTGAAAAGAGGGAAATGGGGTGAGAAGGAGGAGAAGTCCTAGAGTATACAGCATTTTGAGCCCGCTGCTGTACCCAGACATTTTATTGCTTTTGAATGATTAGTTATATACGTATCTGAAAGCTTCTCTTTACTTTTTGGAGCAGCCGTTAGGTGAGATTTGCCAGGTTTCTCCTATAGATGAAAAACAGAACAACTTTAAACTAGAAAACCTTATGCCATGCCATTTATAACTTTTTATATGTGTCTGAGTCCTAAGCAGCTGAATATAGGTGCTCTTTTCAGCACCAGTCAGCTACATTCACAGACTTCCCATTCACGCTCTTCATATAATGTGCCCACTCATAAGCTTCTCTTACATCAGTCCAAGGTTTTATGGCCTGCTCTAAAGTGCCGCTGTCTTTTGCCAAAAATGGCAAAATATACAGCATTTTTGCAAGTAGTTTAGAAACTAATAATTTTCATGTATGTCCACTTGCCCAATAAGCTATAAGCTATTACTGTGTTTTTTTTTTAAGTTTATTGAGTGGAACATTTCACTGGGAGCTTTGTATTCATATTGGTTTCTTTTAAATGACAATTTGTCAGAAACTTCCTTAACCAATTTTGTCCAGAAATCATTGTGAAAAAAAATTAAAAAATCAGATCTATTTTTTTTATATGTGAACAAAATGTTAATACAAATTATATATATTTTAAAACACAAACAATAAACCTGGGTCCAAAACACCAGTAGTGTTTTTATTCAAGACCTTGTCTAACCAAGTAAAATTTAAATGAGAGGAAGGAAAAGCACCTGAGTGGTTAATCCAAACAGTTAGCTTGTGAGAATAGGACAGAACAATAGGACACTTTTAAGGTACATAAAGTTAAGTAATTTGCTAAATCCACAACTATTAAAACTCTGAAAAATCAATTAGTTATTCAACAAATACATTTTTAAATTTCCTGTGTAATAACCCAGAACTTTAGCTTTAGCTCTGAAGTTGCAGAAAAAAGTGACTTTGGCTGCAGTTTTTACTTTAAAACTGAAATGTCGGACTATCAGCAACATACATTTAATCTCATTAAAATGATTTAAACAAAGGAAAATAAGAAAAATGACAAAGTACAACCATGTAACAATATTTGTACACTAAAGCTTGTATTAAGCTAGTTCCATGTTGTTTAAATTCGTTTAAAACAAGACAACCTTTCATTGTTCATCTCTGTGGAAAAATTAATTATGCCTAGAACCCCCCCCCCCCCCCAACCAAGACACACACAAAAGTACAAAAGTATACTGGATGTGTTCCTTCAAATGTTTACAGTTTTAATCTAAAAATCACAAATTAAATGCAAAAAAACCCTTACCAGAATGATGATTAAATTGTTGGTTTTATGTCTGACTTTATGCTTCTCCCTCCATCTGAGCTGGAGGAGCTCATGCAGGCTGAACTGATCTTGGAGGAAAGAACTGAGAAAGGACCCCCACTGTAAAGAAGGTAAGTGATAAGTCTGCCCCTACTTAAGGACACCTCCCCACACCTCCCACCCACCCCCACACATGGACCATACCTAGTGGTCCAATTCCCACATCCACCATGAAAAATATTTGTACTGGACTCACAAAGTGAAATTTTTACACTGATTTGTGTATCAAATGTGGCAACTCACTTTGGTTTCTGTTACTTGAAGAAAACATATTTTATGAATTAATTCAAAAATACTCTTGATCTGGTTAGTAATAATCTATGTTTTAGTCAAGTTTTTTTGTTTTAATTCTACTGTTACTTTTACTGTATAATATAACCTGCTATAACAAACTTTACCAAGTTTTAGTTAGGAAATCATACTCTTTTCATGTCGTGTGTGTGTATCTCGACTTATTCCTTGTACTGTTACCATTAACACGCAGTCACTGACAGAATAAAATTTGTGTCTGAGAATCATGATTCAGCTGGAATACAAAGCACAACCCTGTAAGTATTCAGTGCTGACACCAGGTTTCAGAAACCTCTCGCTATATGAATCGGCTGTTTGTTGTAGGTAATGAAATGTAACTACACGGGAGTTATGTAAGTAACCGACTGTCCACCAGATTTAAGGAATGTTCTGTGCAGGCATTGCATCTCTGACCAGATGCCACCCACCAGCCCGCCTTTGAAATCCACATGAAGAAAACTATATAAAGGGTTTAGAGCAAACAAGAAATATGTAACATTCTCCCACATACAGGAAAGGAGTTGAAGTCATCTTAGCTTTGACAGAAATGTTTAGCTAGAATAGACAACATACAAATACCTTACGAAAAGCTGTAAAATGATGAAATTTTTAAAGTTTTAAATTGATTTGGTCTCTCTGATCTGTATAATGTTATCTAATTATTTGTTTTTCTTTTATTAAACATCCACTTGTATGCAGCGTGTTGTTGCTGAAATTGTAGGTCAGGGAATAGCAAAAAGATTGTTGCACAAATCTGTTTAGCCTTTTATTCTCTAATTTTTTAGTTGAGATGTTGAATTTTATGTCTGTTTACCAAAATCTCAGTTTAGTTCCATTTTATGTTTCGGTTGTTTTGATTTACCAATAATAATAAAAAATCCTAATCTCAGAATCTTCAATTACAAAAACAGCTTGTAGGCAGAAATTTAAAACAAGTCCAATAAACCTTACTTTTTGCAAGAAGAAGCCTGAAAAATATCCATCCATCCATCCATCCATCCATCCATCCATCCATCCATCCATCCATCCATCCATCCATCCATCCAGCCATCCATCCATC